TGCTTCCAACAACAACAAGCAATGTAGCCACAGCGCCACCTACCGGTATTGGCGGCAGTCCTGAGAACTCCCAGCATCCAGCTCCCAAGCCAGACTGCTGTGGGAAGCTACCTGTCACTTCCTCTTTGACCGGTGCCACCACCAACTACCAGCCACAGCCAGCTTGTGGAGAGCCGCCAGCCACTCGTCCTTTCGAGTTACAGCGGCGAACAACCAGCTGCCCATGCCACTCCCTTGGTGCTCCAGTGCAACCATTTGCCCTAGCTGTGCTCCCAATGCATCACTGGGTGATGGGGAGATTATAGAGCTGCCTACCTCCAGCTCCAGCAGTCACCCAGCTTCTACATTGGCTTATGGGAGGCCAGTACTGTAGCCCACAGCAACAGTGATCTAGCAGGACGATCCCACCATCCAAGGAAGTCCGCCTGTAATCGATACAACGGTTGTCCCTTCCAATCAGGACCGCACGTCCTTTGGTCAGCAGACGACAACCAGCCCATGTTGGATGCCTCACAGTTTGCCCATCAAGGCGAAGGCAACCAACTCGGCTCTAGCAGAGCCTCCTCTCTTTGGTGCTCCCAGTGCCACCAGGCTCATGCCAAATGAGAGGATCCCTTTGCAAGCAAGTGCACGCCCAAGGCAGGATGCTTTCAAGCAGACAGCTTCCAGGGCAGGTCGTGCAACCACCAACCTTGGCTGGAGATCCAGGTGTCCACCATGTCGAACGACACCAAGGATTCCCAGCTTGGTCCATCCCGGACCACCTCTCTTTGGTACTCCCAGTGCCACTAGGCTTGTGCCGAATGAGAGGATCCCTTTGGCAGCAATGCCATCCAGTCGGCAACCACCACCAATGGTTGACAGCAGCTATGAAGCCCAACCACAGGATGAGCCCAAGGTCCCAGCCACCAAGGTCTCAGTCTCCTCTGCCTCCAAGGCAATGGGGAGTTCCCTAGTGTTTGGCATGTGGTTCCATCATGTGTTTGCTTCCATGATGGCCCATAGGATTGGAGCCCTCCAGTCTGTGCTGCTAGTACCGTCCCTGGATTTTCGGACGGGCAACTAGACTACGTCCCTGTCTGGTACAGCCCATCCATCCCATCCGTCAAGGGACATGATTGCGGGGCAAGAAGGCCGCTCCACTGAGAGCTTGCCACCGCTGAATTCGGCCTGTGGCAAAGCCACGAATATTTGTCTACATATGAAGAAAACAAACAACAGCTATGATAGCAACCAGCACCGCCGACACCTACCGAGTCTGGCCATGCTGATGAGCACGCAATCCCTTTGCGCCTACCTTTGGTCCAGCAACCGACCAACCATGCAAGTCCCTCCACTTGTGAGATCTCCAATCTCACATTGTGTTCCACTAGCAGCCGATGCTGAGTGGCCCATGAATGTTCCGTTCATGGGGAGAGTATGTATTGTAGTTAGTTAGTAACTAGTCGTATATCGTGGCATTCCCATGAGAGCGGATCCATTCGCACTCGTGGGGAGCGATAAAGTCTAGGAGCGAGAGCTCTGGATTCCGTCAGAGATAGCTCCAACAGCTATGCTGGCCTAAAGATCCAGCACCCACAGCTGGCTTATCTCCAGCCAAAGCAGCAAGAAAGGATCGTCCTTTCTACCATAGTTAAGAAAATAGTACGAAAGATTGAGACCGATCCTGATTAGCTTGTAGCCCCTTTGATACCGCAGCAGTTGATACCTATCCTGTTGAGGCCGGGCAGAAGCAGTAGGAGGTAGCAGATAGTACTGTTCCCAGACTGCCACTGCACGATTGAATAACGAAGGCCCCCAGCTCCTGAGGAGAGCTGGCCCAAAGGGCCCAGCAGAGAGCTCTGCTGGCCCTCCTGTCTGACTGACAGGGCCAAGTCCTTGGTTTGGTGCCTACTGGAGGTGTTGGAACACTGCTGAGGCACGACAAGGCTCCCTGAACTGCCTGACTACCGCTGTCCCTGAGGAAGGGTTTCAGCGAGGTCCAGTCCACTACTTCAGTACTGGAACTGAACCTTCTAGAAACTTATTGGGGACCTGCACCAGTTCACCCCTTTCCCCAACATCCCATTCACCCACGAACGCGTGACAATCAAGTTCAAGGGCGCGAAACTCGCGCGATTCCACCTGAGAGAAGTTCACACACTCCTGGGAGAAGCTTCCATCAAAGCCCACTGGAAACAACGTGAAGAACGGGTTCGCGATGTGCACTACTCCACCGAAGCATGGAACGACAAGTGGCAACGCACCAACTGGACTGCCCACGGCCGGGCATTCAGAAGCAGCCACCTTGGCACACACCGTTGGGTAACCAAACACGCCTCAGGACACTGCGGGGTCGGACGGATGCAACTTCAAAGAAAGTGGCAAGACCACAGCAACTGTCCGCGATGCGGCCTCGAAGATGAAGACACTCTCCATGTGCTCCTCTGTGACTCCACCACTGCTACAGCGGAATGGAAGACACAAATGACGGAGCTGAACAAGTGGATGAAGAAGAGGCACACCCACCCCAGACTCCGAACACAGATTCTCCTCCACCTCAACCGGTGGCACCAAGGAGACACCACTGCCCCCAACACCACCCGACTACCAACCTCCATCCGCCAAGCCATCGCCGACCAAACAAACCTTGGCTGGTGGAACTTGTTACTTGGCAGGGTCTCCCAATCCTTCCAACACATCCAAACACACCACCTGCAACGACTCAAGAAGAATGGAGATGGACTGGCTTGGACCAGCGCCTTCATCAAACAGATCTGGAGCCTACACTTCAACCTTTGGACCAACCGAAATGAATCCGTCCATGGCACTACCCTAACTCCCACCCAACTATTCCAACTGGACACTCTACGCGAACGGGTTCGACAACAGTACACCCAAGGCACCATAGGCCTACTCCCCGTCGACCACTGGAGAGTCCACCCGGACACCAAAACCCACACCCTTACATTCACTATCGACAAGACAAAACGATGGCTTGAATCTACCACCCTTGCCCGAACAGAGTTCCAGAAGCAACTTGCTCCAGCGAATCGACAGCTCCAAAGGCAACAGCAACTGATGATCACACATTTTAGTCTTAATCCGGATTAGGCCACTGCGCCCCCGGTCACTCCACGAGGAGGCACTCACTGTGGTAGCGGAGAAACAAGGACATGTCCCCTCTCGTTGGGGACGGAGGTGAAAGACGAGCGTAGACTAGTTAGCTAGTTACAATCGTGCTTATATGAGGTACATCCTCTTGTTTCAATGAAACTGAATGCTTTTCCCCTCGTGTCGTGCGACCACCCACATAAACGACTCAGTTGCTTGGGCCCTCGGGCTCGATTCGTACCAGCGTTGACAAAGGTCCTCCGGACCAGATAGGTCTGTACTTTTTATATACAGATCCCAAGCAGTCACATTCTACAGCAGTGAAGAGGATCGCGAGGTACCTCGTGGGCACGACTGACAAGGGTATCATACTCAATCCACAGGCGTGTTCTTTCGACGTGTTTGTCGACGCAGACTTTGTTGGAAATTGGAACAGAGCTACGGCAGATGTTGATCCGGGAACAGCTAGATCAAGAACTGGGTTCGTGATCATGTATGCCAGCTGTCCAGTTACGTGGGGATCGAAGCTTCAACGAGAAGTAGCGCTATCCACGACGGAGGCAGAGTACAATGCTCTGTCGGAATCACTAAGAGACACGATCTATTTGATGCAACTAATCGATGAGTCCACCAGGCAACTCAAGTGGAGAACACACGACAAACCACCAGTGGTCCATTGCAAAGTATTCGAGGACAACGTGGGAGCATTGGAAATGGCACTGGAACCTAAGATGAGGCCCAGGACCAAACACATTTGTGTTAAGATGCATCATTTCAGAGACCATGTCAGAAGCAAGAAAATAACAATACACAAGATTCCTAGCCGATATCAATTGGCAGATATAGCAACGAAGCCACAACCCGTGTCATTGTTTGAGTCACAGCGAGAGAGTATCTTGCAGTGGGACGCAGAAATAATGACAGCAGCACAACTTGAGCAGCCTGCGAAGCATCTGAGGGCGTGTGAGATAGTGAGAGATCATAAGATCCTGAACAATCTAGAAGGTCAGCATGCTTCCAACCCTGACAGCAGTGGTGCTGCCTCAACTGATGGAGATTGAAATATGAACAGGCAAACAGTTGAGAATAGGTATAGGATAGAGTAAAATAGCTCACAATGTAGCAAAAACCTCAGTAGCCTCCTCTCAACGCGCAAATACTACGTGAATCTTCCCTTGGAGCAACGTAATAGATTGATTCCAACGTTTTCTTGACGAGATAGACGGCACTACCGTAATAGCGCCGGTACATTGTATGTTATCGGGGTAGGAAGAAGTCGCTTTGCTTTGTCGGTGGGACACAGTTTCTGATGCGATGGCGCACTGCTCTCCTTCCTTGCCTGCTACTTGATAGTCCATGGCAAGTTTTCGGAAATGATTGATTGTCTGTTACTTGTAACTGGTAGCAAGCAGTCTACGGCGACTTTTTATTGACTGTTTACGAGTATTGACTGGGAAATGATGCGAAAAGACGGGCCGCGACGGTCGGTGGGAGAGGCCGGGAGGCCCCTTGCCTGCTATCATACATAATAATAGTACAGCCGTACGGCGGAGGCAACTGGGAAAGAAGAGGTGCCACCAGAGAGAGATAGCGGTACCGGTACCGTCGAGCAGTTGAGCAGGAGCCTGGAAGCGGACGCAACCACGGAAGCTGGTTCTGCCTATCGTGGCTGCTAAAAATTTTACTTATGTCTGACATTTTCTCATTGTTACTACTCTACTGCTACCGCAAACATATAGTGTTGTGTGAAAGCTCTTGTTTCAGGGAATGGTGTCTCCCACACACACAGCCGGCCTCTTTCTGTTTTAACTCTTTGTTCGTTCTTGCCACAACCAACAAGCCATGGTCTTTGAGGACGCGGTCTGGTCTGGAGCTGAAAACTTCACAATGTCCCCCCCTTACACCTTTTAGGAAACTGAAATTGTGTATGTTGTGAAAGTTGAACATTCTAACCCACTTGGCACACCAACACCGGACGCATCCAGGCGAAATTCAAACGCACTGCCCTGAGATTCAGCAAGATTCAAAACAGCGGATGTCTCTTCCGAAAGACTTGCACCTGTTGCCAGATCAGTTGGACCTGCTGGGATCAAGTTGATGGGGTTTTGCTCAAATGGACTCGTGCCAACAGCATTGTTGACTGTACTGACAACACTTCCTTCATTCGTGACCGTCATGGTCAGTGTGAAAGTTTCAATAATGCTTTGGCTGCCTTGAGCTGAGTTCTGGAAACCAACCAATTGAAGTGCGCCATAGTTTGTAAGCAGAGTCAAGTCTTCTTGAAAATTACCTTCGCATCCCAATTCCAACCTGCTTAGTTCCTGCAAGGGGCTTCCGCCAGGGCCAGAAGAGATTGTGATTTCAAGACGATCCCTCTCAAAGGGTCCATTGACCTTGAAGATTCCACCAAGTGGAACAGATCCAGAAAAAGCTGTTCGGTCTCTGTCCAGAACTTCAACATAAGCACTTTGCCCCGAAATTGTTCCAAAATCCTCACAGTCTTCGGTGTTTCCACAGCTGTTTCCTGTCATCAAGAATTCCAGAGCAGTGACGCCATTGTTTGGATCGTTGCACACTGACTGGGATGGCGATTCAATACTTCTACAACTGCGACCACTGGCAGTGTTGCATTCAATGTTTGCATCGAGTCTACAGGGAGCTCGTGCAGGATCCATGGTTGGTGATGGGGTTCCTGATGGAGCCTGAGTGGGCGAAAATGTAGGAAAGATAGGAGGGAGTGGTGTTCCAGCCTCGAACCTCAAAAGGTCATTTCCAACACATTCAGCTCCCGTGTCTGTGACTCCTGTGAGGGTGAAGAGAAAGTTGTATGTTCTCCTTGTTGACAGATCAAGTGTAATACTAAGTCCCTCAACCACAAAGGTTTCCCCGGCTTGAACAGTTTGACCTGCAACTTTATCCGTGAAGTTGAAGAAGAAGGGGTCAACATTGGAAGCAGCCGTCAGTGTCTGCATGGTGAGCGTGTCTCCCTGAATCTCAATAGGAACTTGAATATCGATGGAGAAAGTTTGATTAGCAAAACATGAGATGTAGCCCTGCTCTTCATTCCACCATCCAACCAACTGGACAGCTCCAAACCTATCCTTCAAGTACAAGTTTTGGGAACAAGAACTGTGGTATTGCATGTCCTGAATAAGGTTTGCTGGACTAATATCATCACTTGAATAGATCTGAATGGTCTGATCAGCCACAAAGTTATTGCCACCATCTCGGAGGGAGAAGTTTGCTCCAACCTCAACCCAGCCAGCGAAATAATTAGTGTCATCTTTCAATGCATTGACAATAATATAAGACTTCTCTCCTCTTTGGGTTGGGGGACCTCCATTCAAATCCTGACAGATGAACTTGTCACCGATTGCTTGGATATTGTAGCTGCCTTCACAGTCACCACCATTGTAGATGAAATCCATCTGAAAAGGACGATCAGTGCACTGCTCAACTGGAGGTGGAGTAGCATTACAGTCTGGACACTCAATGTCAACTTCAAGAATACAAGGTGCAGTGGGGGCAGCACTTGGTGATGGAGTGGGTGGTGGAGTGGGCGGTGGTGTGGGCAGTGGAGTAGGCGGTGGTGTTGGTGGTGGTGTTGGGCCTGGTGTTGGAGGTGGTGTAGGGGGTGGAGTTGGGCCTGGTGTTGGTGGTGGTGTTGGGCCTGGTGTTGGAGGTGGCGTTGGGGTGGAGTTGGCCCTGGTGTTGGAGGTGGAGTTGGTGGTGGAGTGGGAGGTGGGTAGGGGTGGTGTTGGCCCTGGCGTTGGGGGTGGAGTTGGTGGTGGAGTGGGAGGTGGCGTAGGTGGTGGTGTTGGCCCTGGCGTGGGGGTGGAGTTGGGGGTGGAGTTGGCGCTGGTGTTGGGCGGAGTGGCGGTGGAGTAGGCGGAGGAGTGGGTGGTGGTGTTGGTCCTGGTGTAGGTGGGGGTGTAGGCGCAGGTGTTGGTGGCTCACTAGGTGTTTCACTAGGAGAAGCACTTGGTGGCTCACTAGGTGATTCACTAGGAGGAGCACTTGGTGTATCACTAGGAGTTGCGCTGGGAGGGCCAGTTGGGGGTGGGTTCAATTCGAAGTTGTAGGTGTCTTCATCTGTGCAGAAGATGCCACTTTCTGGTTCTCCAGTCACATCTACAGTAGTTGTGTAGGTCTGATCACCACAGATATTTGCAAGCACTTTTTCATCGTCTTCAATAGTGACTTCCTGGCCTCGCTCAAGGTTCTGAAACTCAGCTGGAATCAAAGAAAGGAGGCTCACAGTCTCATCACCACGTGTTCGCGTGAGTTCATGCAGAGACATGTTGCCTGTACCAATGTTGCTGATGGTGTAGGTGTAGCAGAGTAGTTCCTCACAGGTTTGCTCTGAACCAGCCTCATCAGTACATGAAACCAATTCAAAGCTGCCAAACTTGTTATCAAGGTTCAAAGCTTTTCCAGATGTGAAGAAGGAGAACTCCTGAACTGTATTGGTCCCGTCACTGATTGTACAAACAACCTCTTCAGGTAGGATTTCACCATTGGGGCTAGTGATGACCAAAGTGTCATTGACCATCACATTGTCTGGCTCAACAACAAGCTCAGCCCCGCCCTCAGCTGGTACACATGAAACACTAACTGCACCACTGGGGAATGGCGCAGAATCAGAGCAAGAAACACCATCCTGATTGTTGCTACTTTCATCACATGTGCAGTCGTTGTACCGGAACTTGAGTGTAGTTAGGTCTTCTCCCGCAGTACAGTCTCCTGGTGGCGTCACGAGCTCCGTACAGGGATTGCCATCTTCGTCCTTGCATTCGATCTCGACTACTACACGACAATTGTCCAGGATGGCAAAGTCGTATTGGGCAGTATCTTGACAATCAAGTCTTCCTCCAGACGGTTCACCAGATACGAAGGATGTCGTCTCGGCAAAGTACGAGGTACAAATGTCAATTAGCTCGGATTCCTCGTCTGAACTGGCTCCACCAACGGGAATGTCGGGGTCGATAAACGGCAGTAGATCCTTCGTATCTCCTTCGCGAGTACGCGAAAACTCCACTACTTCCAAATCCACATTTCCAGTGTTGTCCACAACGAATCGGTACGTGACTTCCTCAATGCAATCTTCGGCATCACACGCCAAGAGAGTGAATGAGCCATATTTGTCCTTCAAGTGCAAGTCCACGTTTCCAGAGGTGTTGATAGTAAAGACTTGAAGCACAGTTCCAGATGTGGTAGAAACATCACAAGTCATGTCCGTGGGGAGTGCTGCAGCGCTTGAGATGGTGATGTTGTCGCCATTCACCACTGTTTCTCGGAAGAGAGTGCTGGGGCCCGACATGCACGAGACAACGACCGGGACGCCATCTGAAGGAAGTGTTCCATCGTCAATGCACCCAGATTCAGGTTGGTTATTAACACTATCGGCACAAACACAAAAGTCCACCTGGAATCTGAGAGTGCGAATCCTGGAACCCAAACTGCAGTTTCCCACGGGTCGCACCAGTTCTCTGCAATCATTTCCGTTTTCGCTAGTGCAGAAGATATCCGTCTGCGATATCAGAGAGAATGGTTTAAAAGAGCGTTAGAGAGTGATTCAATTAGTATTGATGGCAGTAGAAGGTACCACAAAAGGGTACAATTATCAACTTACAGTCGCAGCACATACTCCAGAGGGAGCAGCAGAGGGGCTATCAGATGGTGCTGCCGATGGAGTCTCTGATGGTGGCGCTGATGGCGCCGCCGAAGGAGGCGCTGAAGGAGTCTCGGAAGGGGCACTGGAGGGTGGAGCAGAAGGTTCTGGAGTCAAACTACTCGATACTACTTCATTAACAAATCGAGACCAGAAATTTTCATCATCTTGAAATAGATTTCTTTGCTCGGCTACGTCTTCTACGCCTAATGCGCTTGACGCCACGCCCAAGAAGAGCAGCAATAGCGCTTGGGACTTCATTGTCAGATTGGATCACTTTTCCACTTGAATGTTGTGGTTTTGACTTGCTGACCTGCGATGGCGATGGCGATTGCTTTGTGATTGTTTTGAAATCGCCGATTCTGAGGCCAAAAAATGAGGCCGCGAAGACGAAACACTGAAGTGTTCATAGTGCGCATGTGGCACCTCCTGCCGTTATGGCCGAGCCGAAAGTACTTGGAAAGATTGAGTGGGGAAAGCACGCCTTGCCATCGACAAAACTTTTTTATTTACGAGATCGATTCTAGCGGTTGATATGTCATAACGACCTCCTGAGGAAACATGGATGAATGGTGAAGTCGGACGAAGCTTCTTGGACATCGAATTCCAGAACTACATCGTATCACAGCACGGGAATAATCTCGATGATGACGTCATAGGTACCCTAGTACCAAACCGGTACGGGTACTAGTAGACCGCTATCGGTACATACCAGTACCAACCAAGGACTCCCAAAAACAACATCACAAAGTTCATGTGAAGACTACTCCAACACAACCAAACTAACTATCTAGAGCTGTCTACATTCTTTGCTTGTCGCAGCCATGTGCGGGTTGTAGTGGTTGCAGACATGTAGCAGGCATTATCTTATGCTAAAGTAGATGCTTCATTTTTCTTCCCAATTGCCAAGTTCTCAGCTCCACCATTCTTTTGAGGCTATGTCGCCCTTGTGACATCATTCTAGGCTTCCTCATTGGTCAATGGGTCCTCCTGGGAAACTCAATGCCAGAACAGGAAGGATATCTCAGTGAATAGTCAAAATGGGTAACCAAATCAGAAGTCGGAAACCAACGAGTGTGCCGCAACTCTGGCATCCATTTTGGTAGCTATTCTGATAGGAGTGATGCATTTGACCTTTCCAGGCCTTTCTGGTCACACACCTGTACACGTGGCTCTATTGGTTGGACCAAACGGGGCATGCGGTGGGGACAGAGACTGGCTGGCCTGTTGGGGGCAGCAAAAATTGCCGAAAGCTGGCTGCCTACCTTTGCCGGCCGTTCGTTGCTTCAATGGCCAGCAAATGGAGATGCCACTACCGCCAAAGCAACAGGCATGTCCAGATTATGTATCCCCTATCTCATGGTGGTGATAGGGTGGCTCTATTGGTTAAACTGCGAGGGGTATATCTGTCAATTTATTGTGATCTTGGAAAATGGATTTCTTCAGAAAAGGGAGTTCTGGAGCTGGGGCTGAGACTAATTTGCCTTGATTTACCCCACTTCCCAGGAACCATTCTCCCTGTTGGGCCATTCTCCCTGTTGCACCATCTGTAGTTCTGGTCCGGTACGAGGAGAGAAGACCAGGACAATAATTTTCTTGCAGAGGATCATTCGCAGGCATGGCAAAGCAGCCAATAGAGGTTGCTAACTAGAAATCGGATCAAGATTGCTATCGTATTCTCTTCCCCACCGTACCGGTATGAGCACTGGACTTTTGTCCACTCTCCTCTTATTGCTCCAGCTCAAGCTATGTTACTCAGGCCAACAGGCAACCTAGGACTACCTGTACCTGATTGCTCCGGGCTGAGCATGAGGATGGTACCTGTTGCTTCCCACAAGTTGTCTACAAGGTTGCGCTCAACTTGTTTTGCCACACCTTAGGATGCAACAAAGAACACCACTAATAGGCTCCGTTGCTTTCATGTTTGATAGCATAGGAGAGTACTTCTCTTCTTCGTCGTGCAATGCTGTGCTACGTTTCGACCTGGCTGCTGGAACCAGTGTTGATCCCGGTGTCAGGTCGGCCCTCTGATCGCTACTCACCCAGCCTTCCAGAAAGTACGGTACAAGATCATACGATTCTAGCTAGCTCTAGTAGCAGCAAAAGTATCGTAACTGGACTAATAAGTAACTTTGGATGAAACAGCTCACAAACTGCTGAATCGCTGACCACTACCGGTACTCCCGGTAGCAGCCATCCACCCATTTGATATTATGGTGTGTGTAATCGTAATGACGGAGCTACAATGTACTCCGAGTACTTCTGGTACTCATTAGGATTAGCTTGAGAGCCAAAAGAAACCGAGACCTATGCATACCGGTATGCATACCGGTACAGCACTACCAACAAGGGACAACGCAGCCTCATAGCTTTCGATAGCCAGTGCCGGTGGCCAGCGCCGGTGGTACCGTTACTCAGAAGGTACCGTAGCATTCGGTACGATGGATAGTGCTGTAGCCAGCAAGGAGCTAAAGACGGAACCTCAAACCTCATTCACACTTTGTGAATTTAGACCGTCAGCGTTCTCCCAAAAGGCAAGCCAGGTGAATCTCTGGTTCTCTCCAAATGCGATCCATTGTTCGCCCAAAAAGAAGCTTTTGCTAAGGATCAGCGACAAGCAAAGCCAGCCAATGCGCCCGGGCATAGAATCCAAAGGAATGAATCAAACTGTCACATAGCAAGCATCTCCGTATGATACTAAGAACGCTATCGCAGGACGACCCATTGGATGCAGCATAGCCCGTCAAGCGACGACCCAGTAAGCGGATGGCTTTCGGCGAATTGCATTTCATGTGGTTCCATCCTCTCGTTCATCAAACAAGCATCATTTCATGCCGTTGTCTCTCAATTGACGAAACCAGACTCGAGAGAAAACGCAACAGCCTCCATAAAGAAGGCACGCACATATATCGTAGCATCGACATCAACAACAGCAACAACAACAACGGATTGACGATACGTCAAAACCTTCGTAGTTGATTTTAAAAGAGAGTGAGATGGTTAAGTTCATGCGATTGGGTGCCGCGACGGCTTTGTTGCTGCTCGCAGTGCCTTTTGGCGCAGCTGCCTCGGATGGATTACAACAAGACGTTGACGGTGAAAAGCGATCCGTGTTCAAAGACGACCATGAGTTTTGGTCTAGGTTCGTAGATGAGGTCGTTTCGAGCAGCCTGACGCCTTCTCCTACTCCCAAGCCTACCCCTGGTCCCACTCCTAAGCCAACACCTAAGCCAACACCAAGACCCACTCCTAAGCCCACCCCTGGCCCAACTCCTAAGCCAACACCTAAGCCAACACCTGGACCCACTCCCAAGCCCACCCCTGGCCCAACTCCTAAACCAACTCCAAAGCCAACACCTGGACCAACACCTAAGCCCACTCCTGGTCCTACGCCACCGCCAACACCACCACCCACTCCTGGACCAACACCCAAGCCATCACCTGGCCCAACACCACCGCCAACACCACCTCCCACACCTAGCCCAACACCACCTCCAACCCCAGGCCCCACACCCATGCCATCTTCCTCGCCAACTGATATTTGCGATACGGATGTAAGTTTAAAAAGGATCTCAATGAACCAACGATGATTATTGTTCTCTCATGTCCTTTCTTTTCTATTCTATTTCCTAGGTGACTTTGGACTGTGTTGGCCCGAATGGTGTTCCATGCGAAGAACTCGAAGAGCCGGAAGGAACCTGCGCAATTGGCTCAAGCCTCGAAACTGTGAAGTTTCTTTTGAACTTTTGCACCTGTGACGAAAGTGTGAATTCCCAACCAGGATTTCTCTCTACCTGTCAAGATGAAGGAGACTTGCCTGAAGAGGGTTCTACTGTCCGAGTTACTTGTTTGGATGGTGACTCAAACCTACTCTTCTCTCAGAACGTTGCAGAAGGGGACAATGTCGTCATCACAGGCAGTGCAATTCCCGATGAGCTTACTTGCTCGCTCTTTAGCACAGATGGCACACTTCTTCAGAGTTTTGTGATCAATACATCTGGCCAAGTAGACCTGTTCCTCAAGGACAAATTTGGTAGCCTGGAACTTCTGGCATGTGACGACCAAGACTGTTTTCCAGATGTGACCTACACCTACACTGTGATCAACACTGGTGGAGTCCCAGTCACTGTTACCAAATTTGAGCGTGATCGCAATGGTGAGGTGGTAGACTTACTGCCCGGTCTTGATCCAGTTGTAGTTCCTGCCGGGGAGACTTCAAGTCAAACCGAGGTTGAAGCTGTTGACATCTGCTTTGACAATGAATACATCACCACAGTTGAAATTGAAGCATTTCCACCAACAGGACTTGTGTGCCCAGCTTCAGCTGAATACATGTTCTCAACTGAGGTTGGTTGCAAAGTGGATGTTGAAATTGAGTGCAAGACAGAAGATGGAACAGAATGTTCTGACTTGGAACCGCCAACAGGATCCTGTTCTCTCACTGGTTCTCCAATCACTGAACTGAAGTTTACTTACAAAGATTGCACATGTGATGAGAGCTTGAACACACAAGACGATGCGATGTGCAGTGACCTGGCACCCTTTCCCAGTGGACCTGTCACGGTGACGTGTGTTGACGCAGAAGATGGCTCTGAGCTTGATGTAACTCCTGACGATGTCACATCGGGAGACACGCTAGTCATCACCACAGATGCAGATGCCCTTCCAACAGAAGTCATGTGTACCATCAGTGATGGAAACACTCCTGTGCAAGAGTTCTCGTTCTTCACTGGAGATGGCAATTCATTGGCTCTCAAGGACAAGTTTGGATCTTTTGAACTTGTTTCATGCACAGATGAATCAGGAAGCTCCCAAGACTGTGAAGTGGAACTATGTTACACCTATGATCTCAGGAATGTTGGAACCAACAACATGGACATCACCCTGCTTGAAAGAACAAGGAATGGTGAAACTATCAGCCTGCTTGACATGCTTGATGTTACAAACTTGCAACCAGGGGATGAAACCACTATTGAGGACAAAGAGCTTGTTGATCTGTGCCAAGATGAGACCTACACCACAACAGTTAGTGTGGAAGCAGATCCACCCAATGGCATTACTTGCTTTGATGAAGATGAATACACCTTTGATACCAACGTGGGCTGCAAGGTTGACGTTTCAATCACATGTGAATCTGAGAATGGAACTCCTTGCACTGAGCTTGGCCCTCCAGAAGGCTCTTGCAATTTGAATGGTGCAACACCAATGACAGAAGTGAAGTTCCGCTATGTGGACTGCACCTGTGCAGAAAGTGCCCCTTCCAACACTCAGCCTGATGCTCCTTGCACTGATTCTGTTCCACTTCCAACTGGAGCAGTCAGCGTTGCATGCACTTCTGGTTTTGATGGCTCTGCACTTGGCGTTGAACCAAGTGACATCATGCCAGGTGATGCAGTTGTCATTAGCTCACCAGGTGGAGGTGCACTCCCTGTTGAGGTTCAATGTGTGATTAGTGATTCCAGCAGTGGTGGGGCGACTGTTTACCAGGAGTTCTCATTCTTCACTCAAGGGTTTGCTATGACTTTGAAAGACAAGTTCGGAGGTTTTGAATTGGAAGGTTGCGCCAATGAGGCAGGAGGGGACCAGGACTGCCTCCAAGTCGTAACTTATGTCTATGACTTGCAAAATGTGGGATCAAATGAAATGGATATCACCCTTATTGAGCGAACACGCAACAATGAAACTATTTCCCTTCTTGATCAGCTTGATTTTACTACTCTCAATCCAGGCCAAGGCACAACAGTGACAGAGCAAGACACAATTGATGTCTGCATTGAAGATGACTTCATGACATCAGTTTCTGTGGCAGCTGATCCTCCCAATGGCATTACATGCTTTGATGAAGATGAATATGCATTTGAGATTAATCCACCATGTCAAATCTTCGTGGACATGGCCTGCAGCACTGTGGGTGGTGATGACTGTGAAGAGCTTATTGGAGAGCAGCTGGTGGAATGTGATTGCTCTGATGACTGTGCTAGAGAACTCATCTACAGGTACACTGCTGCTGAGTGTGATGATGGTGCAAGTGGATGCGCTGATGCTGGATCCAATGAAGTGTCTGCAAGCATTACCGTGGAAAGTGATGGAGTTACCTTCTTTGACGGACTGGTACAGGTGGATGATAATATTGTGATTCGTAACGATGGTGAATGTCTTCCCAACTCACTGAGTGTTACAGTCAGTGATGCTTCTGGAACTGAAACCCAAACTGTCACTGTTGATTCCACATGTTCTGGAGCTGTCACATTGCTGGATGACTTTGGTGCTCTGGAGTTTGCTGGATACACTTGTGCTGACAACGTTCCTCACAACTGCTACACTGATGTCGAGTACAACATCACTACCTCAAATGTTGGAACAGTTTCCCAAACAGTAACTGAATGGAGCTTTGAACTCAATGGTGAAACCAGGCCTCCAGGAATTACCCTGCCCACACTAGAACCCAAGGAATCTTTCTCCAAGATTGAGCCAGCTGAAATTGAACTTTGCACCAATTCCCAATATGCGGCTTCCACAAATGTTGCAGCAGAAGGATCAGCAGATGGAGCCATCTGTGAGGACACTGCAGGAATTACATTTGACATCACAACAGGTTCACCCTTTCCCAGCCCCAGTCCCAGTGAAACCCCAACTGATGTACCAAGTTCATCCCCAAGTGAGCCCCCGACCCGAGCTCCAACACCACCACCAACTCCAGAACCAACGCCGCCACCCACACCACCACCGACACCAGAGCCCACTCCTCCTCCTACACCACCACCAACACCTCCGCCAACTCCTGACCAACAATACCACCCCTGACACCACACCCCAGAGCCCCACTCCTGGTCCTACACCACCACCAACCCCACCTCCAACCCCACCACCACTCCACCACCCACTCACCAACCCAACACACCCCCCCACTACTCCCACACCACCAACACCCCCACCAACTCCTGGCCTACCCCAGAGCCCACACCACCACCTACTCCACCACCAACACCCACCAACTCCTGGTCCTACACCACCACCAACCCCCACCTCCAACCCCACCGCCCACTCCACCACCTACCCCTGGCCCAACACCAGAGCCAACCCCTCCTCCAACCCCACCACCCACACCACCACCCACACCTGGCCCAACCCCGGAGCCCACACCTCCTCCTACTCCGCCACCACACCGCCTCCCACACCTGGCCCAACACCAGAACCAACCCCTCCTCCAACCCACCCAACCCCACCACCAAGTCCTGGTCCTACACCACCACCAACCCCTCCTAACCACCCACCACCAACCCCACCCCGTCTGGTCCTACACCACCACCAACCCCTCCTCCAACCCCACCACCAACACCACCACCCACTCCTGGCCCTACCCCCCACCCCCACCACTCTCCACACCAACACCCCACCATCACCTGGCCCAACACCCCTCCTACACCTCCTCCTACACCACCACCCACACCGCCTCCCACGCCTGGCCCCACACCAGAGCCAACCCCTCCTCCAACGCCACCACCCACCCCACCACCAACAGGAGATCCAACACCACCACCAACTCCTCCCCCCACAGTTACACCTACACCACCTCCAACACCCATCCCAACCACTTCGCCTACTACAGAATTCTGCGAATTTGAACTTGAAGCAACTTGTATTGCTCCAGATGGATCCGAAAACTGTAATGCAACACCTCCCCCTGTGGAACAATGTGCTGGACGTCCTTTTGAGATGGTGTTTTTGTTCAATGGTAAGTCAAGATGTCTTTCGAATGTGTGTTGATCCAGTCCATATCTGATACATGATTATTATGTTCCATTCAACAGGTGGTGACTGCAGCCAGAGTTTCAATGTCCAAGAGGCAGCTGGAAAGTTCTTCTGCACTGATGAAGGGGAAGTTCCAATCGAGAGAGGGGAGAAGTCATACATTGTGGTCACAGATCTTGACGGGGACATCATATTCCACCAAGATTGGGTGGAGGTTGGAAAACTTTTCACTCTCAGTGATGGAGGTAACAATTTCCCTGCTGACCAGCTCATCACTATCTATGGCAGTGAAGACACAACTGATCCTGCAAACATTCAACAGTCCATCCAATATCACAGCTCATGTTCTCAAAACTTATTCTTGAAGGATAGATTTGGAGCTGTACAACTTGTTATTTGGGTCAATGAAGACCAAGGTGTTGTTTCGTGCTTTGCAAATCAGACCTTCAACCTGGACATCACCATCCCCCTTGATATTGAAGGAGGTCCTGCCACCTTGCAGAGTCTCACAGTTGCGTCAAATGTGGATCCATTCTTTTTCAACCTGACAGACAAGGTGGCTGGAACTGTTGTGGGCGCTGGAGAGTCAATTGTGGTTCCAATCTCAATCCCGATTGACTTGACTCAAAAGCAGACATACAACTTGCTGATCACTGTCACAGCAGTGACACAACTCGGTCGTATTTGCCGTGCCACTGATTTGACAAGCTTCACTGCAGGATATCCACTGCCCCCAATTTTCCCCACCTTTGCCCCTACCCAGGCTCCTACAAGCACTAATCCTCCAACTCCAGATCCCTTGACTTCTGCATGTGACCTTGCTGCTGACATTGAATGTTTCACAGGCAGTGGACGAAGCTGCAGGTCTCTCACAGCACCAACCGATAGTGTCTGTAACACAGCTGATGAAGAAGCACAGTCCATCACCTTTTTGGTGACGGGCAACAGTTGTGGGACCACCGAAAACTGTGAGGAAACCTTTGCTGGTCAGGATCTCCAGGAATCTGAATTCTTCATTAATGCGGAAAGCAGAGATGCGACAGCATTTCAGGGAGTTGTTGCCAATGGTGGCACATTCCGTGTGATGAATGGACTGGAGGATGGTCGGCTCGAGATCAGCATCTCCACCGCAGTCAATGGAGCACCAGGGCTGCAACTACAGGTTTTGGACCGTGTTGATGTCACCTGTGCAGGAAATGTGGGAGAAGATATCACTCTTTTGCAGAATTTCGGAGCATTACAGGTGGTGAGCTACGAGAGCCCTGATCAAGGCCTTCAGAGTATCTACGACCAAATCACAATCACTTACGTCGTCAAGAACGACGGTGTTCTCTCTGCAACTGCGCAATCAGCGGTGAAGACCAGCGCATTCGAAGCAACGGAGGATCTTCTTGCCAGTGGTGCACAAGTGATGGCCCCCAACACTCAGTTGAGCTTTCCAAGCTCGAGTGTTGAAATTAACCTGGCCGAGAACTCAGGGAGCGAGTTTGCTTTCTCTCTTGATGTGAGCGGCGTCGGCACTACGAGCGGAACTGCATGCTCCGACTCGGCTGCTTTGGCTATTCGGATATCATAAATGCTTCGAAAACGAAGAAAAGCTCTGTGTCGTCGTGGATAGCGACTTGCGTGTACCTAGAAACTATGAAGATGAGGCACTGCTCGACCTCAAACGAATCAGAATCGCACTGCATAATATACTTTTAACAATAATAATATTAGGTCAAGTTATGGCATTCTGGTTCTGGTTCACTCGATTCGCAGCGACAAGACAGCTTATGAATTCTTTGTGCAGCTGGGCCACGCTGAGTTTTCCTTCCGTATTGAACTGCTTGGGGGTTAGTGCTGGCGCCAGTTCGGTTGTCGGTTGCCGATATGCCATACTAGTAGTCCTCTACGAACAGCCAAGTACGCCAACCTCGATCCCACCCCACAGAGTACCGGTACCTACCAATACTCAGTAAAGATCGACCATTCTCTCTCTGTGCCTGATTTACGTACCGGTACGAACCGTCACAGTCGTACTACAGAACTGTCTGTGGCTTTTTCGGACCTGAAAGAAGGACACGACCATTATTATTTTCTATGAATAGCTACAGGTGGGCCAGATTGATTCGATTCGCAGTCGTCTTGGTATTTGTCCGGAACGAACACTGGCACCAGGGACGATCTTAACCTTTCTAATTTCTCGCGGACGCCGCATACCGTTATGGAAGTATATACTTTGAATAAAACCTTCCCTTCTTTTGTTTTCGAGTAGTTGAATTTTGCACCCAATTAGCACAACTCAGCCATGGAGGAAGAGGACTCTTCGTTTTGTATGTGGCTCTCCTGGAAGATGGCATGAGAAATGGCCATTCGCACTGCTACCGTAGTGCACGGCGTAATGGTTCCGGCACAGCACGAGGAAGGAATGTCAGAGCGGAAATCATTGAGAAACCATTGTAATGAACTAATTATTTGGTCAATTGTAATAGATTACTGAATCTGTATCCTGTATCGGTCCTCTTTCGGTATCTGAATTCAATGGCCTGGTTGCAAGGAGAGGGCTTCGCGCAGTCGAATCACCTCGGTATGGAGCATCGATCCGCGAAAGCACGCGAGATTGTTGTCATCCAAGTTAAATCTGTATTAGAAGAGATGTGTTGACAATAACGAAGTGTGACATCATCGGGGCAGCCATCTTGGTGGTAGAAAACAATTTGTGAGCCTGATATCCTGTGATGCGACGGGCGGCGTTTCTCTAACGCGGCGTGCTTGATATGGATAATTAGACAAGAGTCGGGACCAATGTTTAGAAACAATAACAGTATTTGTTGGACATTGTAACGGCGGTTACACTACTGACCTTCCCGTTGATACATTAGTTAAGAGTTTCGATACCGGCGAGGGACAATTAGTGTTTGTTAGAGCACCTGAGAGCCCCTCCATCTTTTGGGCTGCACTTGACGCCATCGCCATCGCCATTTTCGTAAATCTGTTTGTCGTGTTCCGCTTTGCAAGGCGTCCTGGTTATCTGAGCTTTTGTTGCGAACAAGTTAAAATCCATTGCACAAATCGCTGACTTGGTTCTTCCCCAACCGAGACCAGCTACTAGTACTACCAGTGCCTAGCGACGAAAGAAGGAGCCGTGTTCTAAGCAACCCAATACGTAGTGATTCTTGACGAGTTTTGGTAATGACAACGATAGCCCGTTCCAGGAAGGCTGCTCTGGCAGTACTTCTCTTCTGTCTGGTGGGTCTTATCGGAACTGTTACAGGAGCTGACAATGTCGATGCTGAACAGCGAAACCTGTTCAAGGATGACCAGAGTTTCTGGGCTCGATTTGTCGACGAAGTCGTATCGAGTAGTTTGACGCCTTCGCCGACACCACCACCCACTCCACCACCAACTCCGCCACCCACTCCACCACCTACGCCGCGACCAACCCCTGGTCCAACACCACCTCCTACACCACGTCCTACCCCTGGTCCAACACCACCTCCCACCCCTGGTCCAACACCGCCACCAACACCTGATCCAACTCCAGGACCTACTCCAGCACCGTCGCAAGCCCCCACGGACTTTTGTGAGACTGAGGTAAGTCGATAATGCGGTGGGTGCAAATGCGAGCGTCTATCGAAGGGATTTCGAACTAATCTGTCTTGTTGCCTCCAAATGTGTAAAATAAAGGCTGAGATTTCCTGTGTCGACGAACGAGGAACGCCATGTGATCAGTTGACCAAGCCCGAGGGCACCTGCTCTGTCGGAAACAACCCTGACACGGTCAAATTTTCTCTCAAGTTCTGCACTTGCGATGAAAGTCGCAATACCCAACCTGGTTTCATGGACACTTGCGAGGAGGATGCAGGTTTGCCCAGTGCCGGCTCAACTGCCACAGTTCGAGTCACCTGTGTGAACCCGGGCGGAGCCCCTCTATTTTCCGAAAACGTCCAAGAAGGCGATGAGATTGTCATCGATGGTGGCTTGCCTGACGCAATGACATGTTCCGTCTTTTCATCAACTGGAATTCTCTTGCAAAAGGTTACCATCGACACTTCTGGTGAAGTTGACCTCTACCTGAAAGACAAGTTTGGCAGCTTCGAGTTGGAGGCATGTGATGACAAGGACTGCCTCCCTGATGTCACTTACTCCTATACCATCTTCAATACAGGTCCAGTTCCAGTGACTGTAACCAAGTTCGACCGCACCAGAGATGGCCAGACCGAGAATCTTCTTCCAGACTTGGTGCCGCAAGTTATCCCTGCTCAGAGCACTGGCTCTGCGAGTGAGACTGAGCAGGTGGATGTTTGTATTGATGGCGAGTTCTTCACATCTATAGAGGTTGAGGCCTTCCCTGCCACTGGTCTTGTCTGTCCAGCTGAGGCTGACTATTTCTTTGCCATTGAAGTCGGCTGCCGTGTCAATGTTGAAATTGAGTGCATGGCTGAAGATGGAACAGAATGTGATGACTTGGTAGCGCCAACAGGATCATGTTCTCTGACTGGGGCACCTATCACTGAGCTCAAGTTTCAATATGTAGACTGCACCTGTGACAAGAGCCTGAACTCTCAGGATGAAGCCGCCTGCAGTGATTTAGCGCCTCTCCCAAGTGGACCTGCAACAGTCTCTTGTGTCCCTGCTGGTGGCGGGTCTGAACTTGTGGTTAATCCCAGTACAGTGAGTACAGGAGATACCCTAGTGATTACAAGTCCAGATGGATCTCCCCTGCCTACAGAAGTGGTCTGTACTGTTAGTGATGGTTCTACACCAGCACAAGAGTTCTCTTTCTTCACTGGAGGTGGAGTTGACTTGGACCTGAAGGATAAGTTTGGATCCTTTGAACTGCTGTCATGTCAAGATGAAGCAGGAAGCTCCCAGGATTGTGAAGTTCTTGTCTGCTATGTGTATGATCTTGAGAATGTGGGCACGAATGACATGGATATTACCCTGCTTGAACGAACAAGGGATGGCGAAACTATTAGCTTGATGAGCTTGCTTGATGTCACAAGCCTTCGTCCTGGTGATGAGACTAGTGTCACTGAAAAGGAACTCATTGACATTTGCCTTGATGAGACATACACTACCACTGTCAGTGTCGAAGCAGATCCACCCAATGGAATCACGTGTTTTGATGAGGCCGAATATGAGTTTGGCACAGAAGTCAGCTGTAATGTTGAAGTGGAGATCACTTGCATGAGTGAAAGTGGTGTGGAATGTTCACAGCTTGAGAGCCCTGTGGGAACGTGCAATCTGAATGGAGGCATCCCAATGACAGACATAAAATTCAAATATGTTGATTGCACATGTGAAGAGAGTGCCCTCACCAACACTCAACCTGATGCCATGTGTACTGATTCTGCACCCCTTCCCAATGGTCCAGTGGATATTGTTTGCTCCCCTGTTGGTGGTGGTGCTGCCCTAACTGTTGTGCCCAGCAGCATTTCTCCTGATGACACTGTGGTTATCTCTGCTTCAGGAGGTGGTACCCTGCCTGATGAGGTGATGTGTGTTCTCAGTGATGGTGGCACGCCTGTTCAAGAATTCACCTTTGCCACTAACCTGGACTTGAGTCTCAAGGACAAGTTTGGAGCTCTTGAGCTTGAGGCTTGTAGCAATGAGGCTGGAGGACAGCTTGACTGTCTAGCCATTCTTTGCTATGAATATGATCTGGAGAACATTGGTACCAATGACATGGACATTACCCTCATTGAACGAACACGCAACAATGTGACAGAATCTCTGTTGGGGATGTTGGAAGTAACCAGCCTGAGCCCTGGAGAATCCACATCAGTTGTTGAAAAGGAGGAGATTGATCTGTGTGTGGAAGACGAGTACTTCACTACTGTGTCAGTGGCAGCTGACCCTCCGAATGGAATCACCTGTTTTGATGAGGATGAGTATTCCTTTGACATCAACCCGCCTTGTCAAATCTTTGTCCAGATGGACTGCACAGTGCTAGATGATGGAAGCACCACTGTTGGTGGAGAAGACTGTGAAGAGCTGACTGGCGAGCAGTTTGTTGAATGTGACTGCGCTGATGATTGTGCCAGGCAGATCATCTACCGATACACTGCTGCAGGATGTGCACCTGGACTCTCTGATTGTAGTGATACAAGTAATTTGCCAACAGATGCCTACATTGTTGTCCAGACCAATGGTGTTGCCATCTTTGAAGGACAAGTTGCAGTAGACACCGATATCACTATCAGCAATGGAGGCAATTGCATCCCTGACACACTTGATGTTTCTGTGAGCTCAGGACCTGGTGTGTTGGCATCCCAGACAGTTACAGTGGATTCCTCGTGTGGCGGAGCTGTCACACTGCTGGACAACTTTGGAGCCTTGCAATTTACCGGTTATACTTGTGAAGATGAGGTTCCCCACAACTGTTTCACTGATGTGGTGTACAATGTTACAACATGCAATGTTGGAACTGTCTCCCAAGTCGTGACAAGCTGGAATTTTGGCCTCAATGATGAAACAAGAGGGCCAGATGTTGCCTTGCCCACTCTTGACCCCAAGGAATGTTTTTCTGCACTGGAACCAGCAGAGGTTGGGCTATGTGAGGACAATCAATATGCAGCAACAGCAGATGCCACTGCTAATGGGTCGGCTGATGGTGAGCAGTGTGAAGATGATGCTACTCTAACATTTGACATCACAACTGGAACCCCATTCCCAAGCCCAAGCCCGAGTGAATCCCCTACTCCTGCACCCTCTCCACCACCCACTCCACCTCCAACACCACCACCCACCTCCACCGCCAACACCGCCACCAACTCTCCACCCACACCTCCAACACCACCCCCACACCACCCCAAGCATTGAACCAACCCCACCACCCACTCCACCTCCAACGCCACCACCAACTCCTCCACCACTCCACCTCCAACCCACCACAACTCCCACCACTCCACCTCCAACGCCACCACCAACTCCTCCACCCCCCACCTCCAACACCACCACCAAGCATTGAACCAACTCCTCCACCAACCCACCACCACCCCACTCCGACCCACCACCAACTCCTCCACCCACTCCACCTCCAACTCCTCCACCACTCCACCCCCAACACCACCACCAAGCGTTGAACCAACTCCGCCGCCGACCCCTCCACCAACACCACCTCCTACACCACCACCGACTCCACCACCAACTCCTGCTCCTTCAGCTATGCCAAGTGCCGCACCATCACCAGAGCCTCCTTGCATCTTCGATATGGACATTGATTGTGTACCTCCTGTAGGATCGTCTTCGTGTAACGCAACCCCTCCACCAGTAGAACAGTGCACTGGAAGGCCCTTTGAAATGGTGTTCTTGTACAATGGTAAGCCTCCTCCATTATTGCTCAGCTGGACCTTGCAAATTGAAATTGACTCACCCCTTGCATTTGCATCTTCTTGCAGGTGGTGATTGTACCCAGAGCTACAATGTTCAAGCAGAAGGAGACAAGTTTACTTGTCAAGATTTTGATGGGGGTCCACCAATTGATCGAGGCGAGAAGTCGTTCATTGTTGTTACTGCCCTAAAAGATGACATTTTGTACCACAGTGATTGGGTTGGTGTGGGAGAACTTTTCACTCTCAGTGATGGAGGTGAAAACTTTGTGGCAGATCAGCTCGTCACTATTTACAGGGATAGCAACACCGCAGATCCTTCAAATATTCTGCAATCTATCCGATACCACAGCTCTTGCTCGCAAAACTTGTTCCTGAAGGATAGATTTGGTGCTGTTCAGTTGGTGATCTGGGTCAATGAAGACCAGGGAACTGTCTCATGTTTTGCTAACCAAACATTCAACCTTGATATCACTGTGCCCATTGACATTGAAGGTGGCCCTGCTACAGTCCAGAGTCTCACAGTGGCCTCAAATGTGGATCCATTCTTCTTCAACCTCACAGACAAGGTGTTTGGCATTCAGGTCAATGCAGGTGACACACTTGAGACAAGTTTGTCAATTCCCATTGATCTCACACAGAAGAGGACCTACAACCTCCTGATCACACTCAGTGCTGTCACCTCCACAGGAAAAGAATGCCGAGCTACAGAGTTGACAAGTTTCACTGCAGGATATCCACTACCCCCAATCTTCCCCACGTTCGCCCCCACAAATGCGCCAACGGGTTTTCCTTTCTAGATGTTGATGAAGATGTCTATTTGTTGACACAACCAAGAAAAATGAACACTTGCAGTCTATCATGTTATGTTATGGGGAGAAGGGGGCCCCCAGCTGCAAGGCGAATGATTAGAAAAAAATAAAGGAAAAAAGTAATGTCTAATGCAAAACACTTATATCACTCAATCTTTCTTTGTAATGGGCGATTTATAGGATGAGGAAAGGGTTCTCGGGCTACCGGTATCAAGTGAGAGTTTTGAGCTTGGGGTCTTTTAGAAATCTCAACCGGAAGGAGCTGGACCATGGGAACATCGGTCTTAGTAGTTTCCCCTTGGAGTACTCCAAGTAAAGCTGCTGCTTGGGTGGTCAATCGATCTCTTGTTGTTGTTGTTGTTGTTGTTGTTGTTGTTGTTGTTGTTGTTGTTGTTGTTGTTTGCATACCTACAACACCATGCTTCTGTTGTTGGTCGGTATGCTTGATCGGTTGTGCGTTTGCTGCGCTGTGGACAATCAAAAGCCTTCTTCCGGCTCCTACTCGTAAGGACAGCAAGAACAGCATAGCTAGCACAAAACCATGCTTTTTCCTTTTTGTTTGAGAACTGGTGGAAGCATTGGGTATCGTAGGTGGGTTTTGGCTGGCTACAGCTAAAATAGACGTACCACCACGGTGCTATCAGTACCGTACCGGTACGGTACCAGTAGCTGGCTGGCTGAGGAGCTCGAACCCGAGGGGGAAATTCGCACGCAGGGCATCTGTCACGCTCGTCTTGCGAGCTTCTAAGTACAGTGCTTCAGAGTCGTTTGTTTTTTCTGCGCCCACAATTCGATTCGAATGGAGACCCCCACAAAGTGCAAGGGAGGAGCATGGCTGTTACCAAGAGGCCAAGAGGAAAGTTTGCAACCACATTGCTCGACCAATCTCCATCTTGTACAATGATCCGAAGAATATATCTCGCGATCCTGTTGGCATATCTGGCAACGGTGCGATCGGCAGCCACCACAGATAATGATAGCATTGAAGCTTTGCCACCCAATGACGCACCAAGGGATCTCCATCACGAAAATGATCTCTTTTGGGCAAGAATGGTCAGCGAGGTTTTATCGAGTAGCTTCACTGATAGACCAACAGATACACCGACAGACTCTCCGACCAAGGAGCCCACTCATTCCCCAACAAAGGAGCCGACGAATGCTCCCACAAAGACACCGACAGGTACCCCTTCAAAGGCACCATCAGCTAACCCCACAAAGGCACCATCAGCTAACCCCACAAAAGCACCATCAGCTAACCCCACAAAAGCGCCGACAGGTACACCGACAAAGGAACCATCAGCTAACCCGACAATAGCACCATCAGCTGCTCCCTCAAAGATTCCAACCGATTCCCCTTCAGGCTCTCCATCTGATCTACCTTCAGCATCTCCATCTGATCCTCCATCTGGTCCTCCGTCTGCTCTCCCGTCTGCTCTCCCGTCTGCTCTCCCGTCTGCTCTCCCTTCATATCCCCCAACAATCGAGCCAACGATGATTCCTACGGTTTCTCCTTCAGGGTCGCCCACAGATGTTTGTGAAGCCAGCGTGAGTCCAATTCTTGACACTGTTGTTCGAAGACACAACTATAGAAAGGAAACTTTTGTCTCGTCTCAAAAAACCTGTCATCTTCAATTATAGGCTGAAATTACTTGCGAAGATAGCAATGGGATACCCTGTGACCAGCTCGCACCGGTAGGTTCAGGAGTATGCTCCATTGGCGACACAATCGATTCAATTCGACTAAGGCTGAATTATTGCACGTGCGACGAAAGCCGTAACTCCCAGCCGAAGTTTATGAATGACTATTGCGATACTCCTGGTTCGCTTCCTGGCGGTGCGGAAGAGACGGTAGATGTGGTGTGCGTTGATCCTTCCAATAGCAACAATGTTCTATACTCTGGTAGTCAGGTTGAAGGAGACGAGATAGAAATCACCGGTGGCTTGCCAGACTTAATTTCATGCTCCATATCAAGCAGAGGCACCCTGCTTCAAACTGTCACAATCAACACAACAGGCCAGGTTGACTTGTTTCTAAAGGATAAATATGGGAGTTTTGAAGTCGAAGCATGCGGCAACCTGGATTGTTTGGAAGAGGTGGTATATTCTTACGCGGCGATCAACACGGGACCTGTGCCGCTCACTGTGACGACCTTTCAGAGAACTCGATTCAACGAACAGAAAGACCTACTTCAAAACCTTAGTCCGACCGAAATTGCGCCCGGAAGCAGTGGATCTGCCAGCGAAGTCGAACTCGTGGACATGTGCCTGGATAACGCATTTGATACTTTGTTGGAGGTTGTTGCTGTGCCTTCCGACAGCGGCTTGCCGTGTCCAGCAGAAGCATTCTATTCTTTTTCCGTCGAAGCAATTTGCAGGGTAGACGTTGCCATTCAATGCATGGCTGAAGATGGCACGGACTGCTTCGATCTCCAACCACCGGTCAATTCATGCACACTTTCGGAGGAGCGAATCGCCCAACTCAAATTCCGGTTTACAGGCAATAGGTGTACCGAGAGCCTAAACTCGCAAGCAGATGCGACGTGTATCGATGCCAGTTCGATATCGAGTACCACAGCGGCTACGGTGTCGTGTGCTGCGGCTTCCGACGGAGGCACGGTTCTTGTTAGTCCCAGTGCTGTGATGGTGGGCGAGCCAGTTGTGGTCTCCGGTCCTGGTGGCTCGCCTCTTCCATCGGAGGTTGTGTGCACAGTTACGGACATCAGTTCCAAGGTTGTTGCTCAAGAGTTGAGTTTCTTTACGGGAGATGGAAACACCTTAAATTTGAAGGACCAGTTTGGCAGTTTGGAACTTTCGGCCTGCACCAATGAAGCAGGCGCAGCACAAGACTGTGAAGAATTAGTCTGCTACAACTATGATGTGAAGAATATTGGGACAAATAACATGGACCTTACACGAATTGAACGAACAAGGAACGGTGAAACTATTAGCCTGCTTGGCATGCTTGATGTCACAAACCTACAACCGGGAGAAGAGACTGGTGTCACTGAAAAGGAAATTATGGACTTGTGCCTTGACTTGTCAACTTCTACAACTGTGGCAGTAGAGGCTGATCCCCCAAACGGCCTCACTTGCTTTGACGAGGATGAGTACACTATCATCGTTGAAGTTGGGTGCAAGGTTGATGTCGAGATCTCTTGCGAGTCAGATACTGGAATTGACTGCTCTGATGTGGGCTACCCTTCACAGTCTTGCACCCAGCTAAATAATGGTGTCCCCCTTACCACCCTGAAATTTCGGTATGAAGATTGCACCTGTGAAGACAGCAAAGGCACCAATGCGCAACCTGATGCAACCTGTACTGACTTTGAGGCGCTTCCATCGGGACCAGTGGATATTGCATGTAGTTCCAGAGAAGACGGTACCTCGGTTGATGTTTCCCCAAGCAGGATCTCTCCCGGAGACGATGTTGTTTTTATGATGTCTGACGGCTCTCAATTGCCTTCTCAAATCTCGTGTATCGTCACTTTGTCAAGCAGTGGTAGCGCAACGGTATTCCAGACGTTTTCATTCTTCACAAGAGATGATCATGACTTGTTCCTCCAAGACAAATTCGGGAGTTTAAAGTTGCTGTCTTGTTCGAACGAAGCGGGACAGTTCCTAGATTGTGAAATGCTCCTATGTTTTGAGTACAATATCAAGAACATCGGAACAAACAACATGGACATTTCACAGCTGGAACGCACAAGAAACAACGTAACTGAGAGCCTTCTTTCGCTGCTTCCAACAACGGAGTTGGAACCTACTGATTTTACTGTCGTAGTCGAAAAGGAGCTTATGAATTTATGCATGGAAGCAAATTATTTGACTGCTGTCTCAGTGGAGGCCAACCCACCCAATGGCTTGACTTGCTTTGACAGTGATGAATTCTTGCTAACCATTGACCCACCGTGCCAAATCTTTGTTAATCTCGATTGTGCTACTTTTGGCGGAGTGGCCTGCACGAGCCTTGCTGGAGAGCAGTTTATTGAGTGCAACTGTCAGGATGGATGTGCGCGAGAATTAGTTTACAGGTACACTGGTGCATCCTGCAATGGTCAGGGAGGATGCACTGATCTCAGTGAAAACGTCGAACCGGCAGATATTGTGGTGGAGGGAGGAGGAAATACCTTGTTGAATACAGTCGCATTCTTTAACCAGAGCATTCAACTTCGAAACAATGGGGAGTGCCTCCCGAGTACTTTGGCAGTGACGATCAGTCCATCTGGCACACAGACACCATCTCAGACGCTCGAAATTGATTCATCCTGTGCGGGATCAGTAGGATTGCTTTCATCTTTTGGTGGGCTAGAATTTGCAGGCTACACTTGTGAAGATGGCATGCCACACAACTGCTACACCGATGTTGAATACAGCATTAACACAACAAATGTTGGAATTGTCAGCCAGACAGTAAACAAATGGGAGTTTTATTTGAATGGTGATTTGAGACTGCCAGGAATGCAATTACCAACCCTTGTTCCAAAGGAGACTTTCTCTCTCTTTGAGGCTGTAGAAGTGGAGCTTTGCAGAGACACTCAGTACACAGCAAATGTTGATGTCAGTGCAATTGGAGCAGCTGATGGTCAGGTTTGCGAAGATTCAGACACGCTGAGTTTTGACATATCTACTGGTACACCATTTCCAAGTCCACGTCCAAGTGATGTGCCTACTGAATTACCTAGTTTTCCCCCAAGTTTGCCACCATCGCTTGCACCCACACCACCACCTACGCCTCCTCCAACACCACCACCTACACCTCCTCCAACACCATCACCTACCCCTCCCCCAACACCCGCCCCAACACCACTGCCAAGTCCAGCGCCAAGTCCAGCTCCGACTCCTGAACCCATGCCTGGCCCAACGCCTCCACCATCTCCAAGTCCAACACCTCCACCGTCTCCAAGTCCAACACCTCCTCCAACACCTCTTCCTACTCCTGGCCCTACACCGCCGCCGACCCCATCACCTACTCCTGGACCAACTCCAGCACCGACACCTAGACCAACACCACCTCCGTCGCCACCACCGACACCAGGGCCTACACCCCCACCGTCACCACCTCCGACTCCTGGACCTACACCAGAGCCTACCCCTCCACCAACCCAACCACCTATACCAGATCCTACACCTAATCCCACCCCCAGTCCCACTCCTCCACCAAGTCCCCAACCTACACCATTCCCATCTGAGCCCCCAACTCCTTCACCAAGCTCGCAACCATCAGATGAGTGTGAGTTTGAGCTTGAAGTGTCCTGTATCCCTCCCGAAGGGACTTCTAGTTGCAATGCAACCCCTCCGCCAGTGGAACAATGCACTGGAAGGCCCTTTGAGATGGTGTTCTTGTTCAATGGTACGTCAAACCTTTTGTTGTCAGCAGATACGAAATCATATGTCCTTACCATTAACGTTTTGCTCTAGGTGGCGACTGTAGCCAAAGTTTCAATGTACAAGAAGCAGAAGGGAAATTCACTTGCCAAGATTTTAATGGTGGGCCACCTGTTGGAATCGGTGAAAAGGCATTCGTACTGGTCACAGACCTTGATGGTGAGGTAGTATTTCACAATGACTGGGTTAATGTGGGGTTTCTGTATACGCTAAGTGATGGTGGAAACACTTTCCCGTCTGACCAGCTTATCACAGTCTACAACAGCAATGAAACATCCGATCCTTCCAATATTCTTCAAGCAGTACAATACCACAGTTCGTGTTCCCAGAATCTTTTCCTGAAAGACAGGTTTGGAGCATCACAGCTTGTAATCTGGGTCAATGAAGATCAAGGGACCGTCACATGCTTTGCCAACCAATCCTTTGTGCTTGATGCAACTGTACCCATTGATATCCAAGGAGGGCCTGCCATTATGCGAACTTTAACAGTTGCCTCCAATGTAGACCCCTTCTTCTTCAACCTGACCGACAAGATCAGTGGCTTGGTGGTGGATGCAGGTGAAACAGTCCAAGCCATCATCACTATTCCCATTGACTTGACACAACAGCGAACATACAATTTGCTGATTACGTTGAGTGCAGTGACACAGCTTGGTCAAATGTGTCGTGCCATAGAGTTGACTAGCTTCACTGCTGGATATCCCCTTCCTCCAGTTTTCCCAACATTTGCTCCCACATCAGCCCCAACTGGTACCAACCCTCCCACTCCTGACCCTGGCACTTCTCCATGTGATCTGGAAGCTGATATTGATTGCAAAGCAGCCACTGGAACAAGCTGCAGATCTCTTCGGAGTCCAACTTCTCGAGTCTGTACCAGTCAGAATGGTGAAGTGTCTGCGATAGATTTCCTGGTGACGGGTAACAGCTGCGGAAGCACGAACAATTGCGAAGACATCAGTGCCATTACTCAAGACGAAGTTTTCTTCTACGCGGAGGCTGATGACGAGACGCCCATTTTTCAGGGAGTCGTCCCAGTTGGCGGTTTTGCGAGATTATCGAGAGGCCTTGACGGAGGCAGAATAGCGGTGACCCTTTCAACTGTCAACGATGGCCTACCGGGCCAACCACTTCAGATTTTGGATAGAATCGACTTGGGTTGCGACGGAAACGTCGGAGAAGACTTGACACTTCTTCAAAACTTTGGTGCGTTACAGGTAGCTGGGTTTGCCAATCTCGACCAGGGGTTCAACTCGATTCTTGACGCGATTACGTTGACGTACAAAGTGAGAAACGAAGGGGCGCTGTCAGCCACCGTCCAGTCAGCCCTTCGGACGTCTGTTGGTGAGACCGCACCGGTGGAACTGATATCCAATCCTCTGGTGCAAGAGCCTTTCGAGGAGACAATCCTCGAAGAGACTACCTTGCAAATCAATCTACAGCAGGAAGCAGGTTCTGATTTTTCGTTTCGACTGGATGTATCCGGTGTGGGGACACAGAGCGGTGTGGGGTGCACAGACTCTGCCGCTTACATATTCCGCATTGGATAACAGCACGGTAACGCATGATATGATGCCTGGACCACTGGTAGTGCCCATCGAATGGACCAGTAATATCAGGCTGGGGAAAGACCGGAGCATCTTTTGTTTGCGGATGGTTCTTGCTATCCTGTCTTCGTAAACGTGAAGGTTTTGGCTTGTTGTTGGAGTATTGCATGTTTGACGTTTTGTCCAAGAATGAATCTATAGAATCTTTGATACATGTATTACTTGCTTTGTCTCCTTAGGATCTAGCTTGCCAACCTTCCAGTCGATTGAACGCTGCCTCGGACATCAACCTGTACTACTGTACTAGTACAGCTGTACAGCAAAGTTACGAATTGTTGAATCGAATCAACTCATTCGGATCAATCGGGGTTTCATGATGAGCTACTCGTACTCCCTTGCCCAGCTGCCGGTACGGTACCTCAATTGCTGTGATCTTCGGTTGGTTTGCCGGTTTGATGGGTACATCGTACCAGTACCGTCACCGGTACCAGGTATTGGGTCAAGGTAGAGATCCATTTCAGGTGTATTTGGTAACTCTACAGGCTACAAGGAGCCTTACGTACTGCATTTTCCGATCTGCCGACGCTGTTTGTACGACGATGAGATGACGAGGCTCCATCATCCAAGCTCTCCTTCTCCTTCCTGCTTCTGGTTGTATCAGTTCATGGACGGCAGCCTTGTTGTGTACTACTCCTAGTAGCCTGCTTTGGTGAATAATCTGGAAGCGGCCGTACGATGAAGCTGGTTGTGTCCCAATCGGCGTATGTTCTGTTGGCATCGAGTTCTCTCACGCTTGCTACCTGGAGACTTTTACAATGGCGGGCCAGGAAGAGAGCGAAGGAGGCGGCTGAGCGAGTCCAGGATATGGTGCAACTTGGTCCATTGGTATGTATTCTGCATTTGAAGTATCTTCAGCTAGCTTAATAAGCTGGAGAAATCTGAGGGAATGAGAATTTCTTGGGACGCTTTGGCTCTCATTTTTCTTCTATTTTTGTGTCCCACCTGTGTAGATCGATACGAACAACAAAGAAGTTTGTGAGAACGTGGTCAATGTTGCTATTCGACGTGCATCGAAATGGATATCCTTCCAACTGAGCGCCGAGGATGGGTCCGTCATGATTGGACAAGTGGGAGGTGTTTCTGTCCACAAACGCCCTTTGCTCACCTTGGAACCAGACTATGTGATGAAACCAGTGCAGAGGGACCACAGAGGCATGCGGGAAATATTCTTGTACGAAGCAGTCAAGACTTTATCGACCAACAAAAGCAGTCATCAATACGCATCACTCTTGACGGGGGGGCCCTACAAAAAGAATCAACACTACAACAATTCTCAGTCTCCCAATGGAATTACCATTACAGATTTGTGGGATACTCTGGCGATTTGGTTTGCGATGAAAATGAACGATCGCGTGGTAGAAGCGTATGAAAAGCAAATGAATCAATCCTGGAAAGTGCTAAGGAAGGAACGAGATACTCTGCACAGATTGGCCACATTCATCCCCGCCTACTATGGTGTGGTAGGTCAACGGTCTCCTCTCTCCATCCCAAAGGGCGAAGAGCAAGCGCACAAAGCAAGTTTGTCGCCTGACGTTGGTTTGAATTCCTCCCATTTTGGAATGTCGCTCGAGGCGCACCTTTTGCTGACTGACATTACCGGAAAATTCCGCCGCCCCTGTGTGATGGACATCAAGATGGGCACTCAGACGTATGAGCCTGATTGCCCCGAGGACAAGAAGATCCGAGAGGCTTCGAAGTATGCACATCAGGAAACCTTCGGATTCCGAATAGTTGGAATGAGATTTTATGACCCATCACACAAAGATGCCGATGAGAATGGATTCCGACTCTTCTCCAAGGAGTACGGCCGATCGCTCAGCACTATGGACGATCTATTGAATGCACTCAAAATATTCTTGGGTGCTGGATGTGCAAAAAGAGTAGACGACTCTGATGTTGTGGACGAGGATGGATTCAGCAGAATAGAGCAGACAAACTCACAACTATCACCGACATCGACCAACGGTGAAGATCCCTTGGACGCCGAAGAGAGGATTCGAATGAGAGCTTCCTCGAATATTTTGTCGGGGTTGCGCCCAGTCATTGGTTTCATGGAGGAGAACAAGTCGCTGGGATTTTACGCGAGTTCCTTGCTCATGGTGTTTGAGGGTGACAGAAGTGCTCCAAACCCAGATGTGGCGACGGTGAAAATGATCGATTTTGGTCGAGTAAGACGACAACCAGGTGGTGACCCGGGGTACCGATTGGGCTTGCGGAATCTCAAGTCATTAATCGATACGCTGCGGAAGGAAGAAAAGCAACGGTTACGGTCCTCTGTGTCTATGATGCCCCCAGAAGCTGTTCATGATGACGAATAAAGTTTGTACTTAGCCTTTAGCACGATTTTGCCGCAAGACTTTTCGAACACTGTTATCAATTTAGGTGGAAAAGTTGGCAAGGATTGCATCTTGCGCTTGTAGTAATACCTACCTGTACCTGTACTGTGCCGCTTACCTTGGTTCGAAGAGCAGACGGGTTGCACTTGAGCTCGGCTACACGGGACAAAGATGACTCTTCTCTTCACTGCGGGGCAAACAAGCTAGAGTATAAGTCGCGTCAAACGGGCTACTTTGTATACTGGAAGGGAAAATCACTCTTTATCACATTGATGCCAAAACTAAGGGTCCTAGAGGGTCACGAGAGCTCAACTGTATACTCAGCCAAACACGCGGCCTCCTCGGTCTCCACACCCATTCTCACGCAAACATTAAAAGTGAATTGGCTTGTCGTATGTGTCCATACAAGCTTCTTTGAAAGCCTCGCTCAAGGTTGGATGTGCGTGGCATGTCCTTGCCAAATCCTCCGAGCTCGCTCCATATTCAATGGCAATCACGGCTTCTGAAATCATTTCACCGGCATTGGGCCCAATGATGTGAGCTCCGAGGATTCGATCAGTGTCTTTCTCGGCCAAGACCTTAACGAAGCCTTCGGAGCTACCATTGGCACGGGCACGCGAATTGGCTGAGAATGGGAAGTTTCCTTTGTTGTATGCAATACCTGCCTCCTTCAGCTCTTCTTCGGTCTTTCCCACCGAGGCAACTTCGGGATAAGTATAGATAACTCCTTTCAAGACAAGATTTCGTTGCCGTCAATCAAAGCATGTGAGAAACTACAACGTGTAGGAAGCTGATCCAACCGTCAGGACGAACGAACAAAAAAAAGAAAGTACCTACCTGGAATGGCATCGTAGTTGACGTGTCCCGCAAAACCTGCCATGATTTCGACAGCCGCAATGCCCTCCTCTTCCGCTTTGTGAGCCAACATGGGTCCATCGATGCAGTCACCAATGGCATAAATGGACGGAACAGCCGTTCGGAAGTGTTCATCGACTTCAATACGTCCCAGTTTGTCGGTTTGAATACCCAGCTCTTCCAATCCCAACCCTTCGGTGTATGGACGACGACCGGTAGCCACCAAGACAATGTCGTATTTTTCTGTTTTTTCATCTCCACCCTTGGATGGTTCGGTTGTCAACACTACTCCATCGGCTTCAACCTCGCTCTTTGTGACCTTGGTCTTAAGCTTGAATTTGAAGCCCTGCTTTTTGAGAGTTGTTTGAAATTTTTTGGTCAACTCTTGATCCATGGAAGGACAGATTTTATCCAGGAATTCAATGACAGTCACCTCGGCTCCCAATCGGGACCACACGGATCCCATCTCTAGACCAATGACTCCGCCGCCAATCACGGCCATCTTACCTGGAATTTTCTTGATTTCCAAGGCACCTGTCGAGTCTACAATTTTCTGTCCGTCATTGTCGACTGGCACGGGAGGAAGAGGCGTTACTTCAGAGCCAGTGGCAATCAGGATATTCTTAGTGTCGATTTCTTCGGTGGCTCCATCCTCATTTTTGACGACCGAGACCGAATTGGGTCCCTTCAAGGATCCCTTTCCTTTGTAGTATTCGACACCGTACTTTTTGAACAAGTACTCGATTCCTCCAGTCAATCCGTCAACAGATTTGGACTTGGCATCTTGCATTTTGTCGAGATCCATGGAGATATCACCAATGTTGATACCGTGGTCGGCAAAGTGTTCTTTGGCATCGTGGAAATGGTGAGAAGACTGCAAGAGAGCCTTCGAGGGGATACATCCAACATTCAGACAGGTACCTCCAAGAGAACCTCTCATCTCCACACAGGCTGTCTTTAATCCCATTTGAGACGCTTTAATGGCAGCCACATATCCTCCAGGGCCTCCACCTGCGTTGAAGGAAAACGGGGTATCGTTAGAGCACTACATAATCAGCAACAATACTAATAGTTGGCAGGAGATAATGATAATGGATCACACTGAAGTCCACCATCCAATAGTAAGCACTAGCTAGCAAGTAGCTAGAAAACCACTCGCTGCTGAACAACCTACCGACGACAGTAACGTCAAATTGTTCCATTATGGGACTGGTCGATGTAAACGCTCTGGTGGAATTAGCTCCCAGAGAGGAAGCAGCCCGTCGACTGGAAAGTCTAGCCGCCAACATGGTTGATCTAGGTTCTGTTGAGTATCGATTTGTTGAGTGAGCTGTGAGGTGTGAGAATGTTTGACTGGCCTCTGACTCTTCTTCTTGCCGTTTCAAACAAAGGTTCAGGAGGAAGATGAGAATGTATGAAAGTGCTTCGCGGCCATTCGAAGCTGGTCTCGCATCGAAGCCAAGAGGGATCTTCTGAGATCTATTCGAATCTATTCGGGACAAAATCGATCACAAGAGAATTCACCGAATTGCCTGACGTATTTATCGTGACCCAATTTAGTCCTTCCGAAGGACGAGGAAGCTGAGAGATTTGATGGAGGCTGCATGGACGATGCCAACCCAAAAAGATCGAGCGACGACCATCGTGGTTTATAATAACGAGCAAATTGATCAGGAGAATAGTGAATAGTTTGACCATGGCGACGGCAATGACTGTGGACCCATCTGTAGCGCAACCAGCAGCGGTTGCCACAGCTTCGGGATGGATTGCCCTGTTGCAAGAGAGCGATCCGACGCTCAAATCGCATGCTCTGAAAAAGCTGTTGGAATGCGTGGATACACTCTGGCACGAAGTCGCCGAGTGCTTGCCCGACTTGGAAGCCATTGCCGAAGATGCGGACGGATGTCCCTTGGAAATGAGACAACGCGCCGCTGCCGTGGCTTCGCGTGTCTTTTTCCATTTGGAGGAACCCACTCAGGCGTTGCGGTTGGCTCTGGATGCAGGGGAAGGACATTTTGATGTCCAACAAGCGACACCCTACGTCGAACGGCTCGTCGCGGCGGCCTTGGATGCCTACTGCTTGGAGCGACGGAAAATGTTGAACGATGATGAAGAACCCAGAACTTCGGCTCCCATGGGCAAACGACCCTCCCAGATTCTGGCGGCGGGAGAAGTTGGTCTTCCCATGGACCAGCTGCAAGCCCTGGTTCATCGTCTATTGGAGAGCTGCTGTGCTGCCGGAAAATTCGATCATGCCTTGGGAATTGCCTTGGAGGCGCGAGAAACTGAAAAAGTCAGGGATGTCTTGCAGGCCAGCAAGCTCGACTCGGGGCTCTTAAAGTACGCCCTCTCGTCGTGTGTCAAAGTCGTTCAATCCAAAGGCTTTCGTCAAGAAGCTATGGCGGTGATTGCAGAGTGTCTGCAAAAGCAATTTGATGGCGGAAACTCGCTCGCTGCATACGACCTCATTCTCGTCCATCAGTTGTTGGGGCAACCCAATCCTGTGGCTCAGGTCCTGACCGGACTCATCCAAGGATCCGAAGAAAGTTCGCTCTTGGCGTTGCAGCTTTGCTTTGATTTGATGGACAGTGGTGATCAGGCATTTGTCAACAGTGTGGCCAAGAAAATGAAAGAGGCCGGAGACCAAGACAAGGAGGACCTCAAGGAGCGCTGGGAGAGAACTGAAAAGGTCCTCACGGGAGGATTCCCTTCCGAATTGGCACTCTCGTTTTTGCACAAACACTCCAAGGCAGATCGATTGATTATGGAAAATCTCAAAAAGTCATTGGAGGAACGAGGCAGTGGCGGTCGAAGCTCTGTGTTGCACAATGCTGCCGTCATGACTCACAGCTATCTTTACGCCGGGACTACTAATGATTCGTTCCTCAGGGACTACTTGGATTGGATGAAGAAAGCTTCCAACTGGTATGTACGCTAGCTACAGTAGAGGCTTCTTCGATGGACTCTTTTTGGCTTATGTGTAACTCATTCTCTTGTGTTTGTGTCTGTTAACAGGGCCAAGTTTTCCGCCACAGCTTCGCTCGGAGTCATCCACGCGTCGCATGTAACAGAAGCTATGCACTTGTTACAACCGTATCTTCCTGCCAACCCGAATGGTGATGGAGACGGCGATGGTGGCGGCACACCCGTCTCTCCATCGGGTGGTTACGCCGAGGGAGGCTCCCTTTATGCTCTCGGCCTTATCCATGGATCACAAACAGGAACTTCCACCGAGAAGAGAGAAGAGACCATTCAATTCCTGCGTGCTCACCTTCGAGCCTCTCACGCCAATGAAGTCATCAGTCATGGAGCGGCGCTTGGAGTGGGTTTGACGGCTTTGGGATCTTCCAATTTGGCCATTGTCAACGAATTGAAAGAAGTCTTGGACACAGACTCAGCCGTTGCGGGCGAGGCTGCTGGAATTGCCATTGGGATGGTGCTTGTTGGTTCCGGAGCTGGAAATGTCCACAATTCACTACCGGCGGCGGACAAGGAAGAACTCATGGAGGTTGTCTCGGAGCTGAAGAACTACGCTCGTGAAACCCAGCACGAAAAGATCATTCGTGGAATTTCGATGGGTCTAGCTCTAATGAACTACGGACAGGAGGAAAACGCAGATGCTCTGATTGAGGAAATGCGCAGTGACCGTGATCCCGTTCTGCGATATGGAGCCCAATATGCCCTGGCTCTGGCGTACTGTGGTACGGGATCCAACAAGGCAATTCGCATTCTTCTGCACACGGCTGTTAGTGATGTCAGTGACGACGTTCGAATGGCGTCTGTGATTGGACTGGCATTTGTTCTGTACAAGACCCCTGAGCGTGTGCCTCTGTTGGTCAAGCTGTTGTTGGAGAGTTTCAACCCTCATGTCCGTTATGCCAGTTGTATTGCCGTCGGTATTGCCATGGCGGGTACAGGCGACTCGGAGAGTGTGTCCATGTTGGAGCCGATCTTGGACGATATGACTGATTACGTTCGTCAGGGTGCCTTGGTCGGAACGGCACTTATCTATATGCAACAAAGCGATACCTCCAACAGTCGAAAGATTCGTTCCTTCCGAGAGCGTCTCTCCAACATAATTGGAGAAAAGCATCAAAGCACATTAACCAAAATGGGAGCCATCATTTCCACAGGTATCATTGATGCGGGAGGACGTAACTGTTCTCTGTCCCTTGGGTCCAAGAATGGTTTCACGAAAATGCTGAGTGCCGTTGGTGTGACGCTTTGGCTCCAGCACTGGCACTGGTACCCCATGATGCACATGTTCAGCCTGGCTCTTACGCCAACTTACACAATCGGATTGAACAAGGTTCGTATTGCGTTGACTGTTGTTATTCTTGTCGCTGATTGCATCACGTTTGAATTTCTTTGCTCACCATACATTCTTTTTGGACAGGACTTCAATTATCCCAAGAAGTACGAGATCAACTGCAAGTCCAAGCCTAGCGTGTTTGCCTATCCAAAGAAGCTGGAAGAAAAGAAAGAAGAGAAGAAGAAGCGAGTAGAGACAGTGACTCTGTCCACCACAGCAAAGGAAAAGGCTCGTCAAGCGCGAAGGCGTGCCAAGGAAGGCGACAAGGGGGATTCTGCAATGGATATTGATGCCAGTACTAAGGACGACGAGGGGAAGGGCGAAGACAAGGAAAAGAAGGAAGGCGACGCCATGGATGTGGATGCCAAGGCTGAGGAGACTGTGGAGAAGCCCAAAAAGAAGAAGCGAGAGCCAGAGCCGACCTCTTTCCGCATTGGCAATCCAGCCAGAATCACCATTGCGCAGTCGGAGGTGTGTGAATTTGATTTGGATCAACGCTATCGTCCTGTTCGATCCGAGGAGAAGCCCTTTGGTGTAATCATCCTCACAGACAGCACGCCCGGAGAGGAGGAAGATCTGGGCGCTGTCAAAGCTCCATCGTTGGAACCGGAGGGCGAAACAGCGCCACCAGAACCTTTCGAATGGGTCCCTCCCCCTGTTTCCTCTTCGGACGGTGCCACGGCGATGGACACAACAACCGATGCTGCTGATGACAAGCCGAAGGAAGAATCCGCAGAGAGCAAATCCGACTAGCCATAACTCAATCTAATCCCACTAGTATCCCAAAGTTTGGAATTGCATGGTAGAATTCAAAAATAGATTGCTCTATAGAATAAGTCTAGAGTTGTACATGTCATGTCAATTGGGCTGTGTCGCTGCCGTACTCTGAGGAGTTTCGAGTCCAAGCTTCCGGAAAATCGCGTCGCCTGTTATCTTTTTGGTTTTGGTTTCATTCAGGTGTATAGTACCTGGTACTCAATCAGCAACGCCCCCACCATATCGAGTTGTCGCTTTTTCTCTCGCATCCGTGAAGCCCCGGACGCCTGTCCCAAGCCTCTCATGTCGACGTTACCAAGCGATGGGGGCTGCCGTTGTCGTCGTTGTTGTTACTGTTGCCATGGCCGCAAGGTGAAGCTCCATCGGACATGGATCGAAGTAGCTCTCCCAGATCAGAATGAATCAATTGGTACTTCTTAGTCAAGTCTTGGCCCTGAGATTTGATCATAACGTCTTGCTTGGTCAGCTCCTTCTTGATTCGCTTGCTCTTCCCGTCAACCAGTCCTCGGATATCCAACGCTTTTGGATGGACTGTCTCGTAGCAGCTATCCTTTTTGGTTGCCGCATGGTGACGCTTTAGGCCTGCTAGTCGTCGTAGCCTGTGTATTGCGGGATCTCGCATGTCCATCTGGAGCTGTTCCACGCTGACTGGGGCGTTATCGTCTTCGGAAGCCTTGTCTCCCATCCAGAAGCGTGCCGCTGTCATCATCGTCAAGCGAGGCACAGCGGCCTTCACACGCTGTTCGGCATTGTCGTGTACCATAGTCATGATTATCTGCTGGTGTTGTTGTTGTTTGTTGCTATTCTTTCTCTGTTGATGTGTTCGGTATTTGTTTGATTTGTTTCGTTATGGGTAGATGATGTCTTTCTCTCGCGGGTGAGAACTGGTGATGTTTGTGATTTCTTTGCTTCTCTTTTGATTTCGCCGTTTTCTTTCGCGAACCCAAATCACCGTCATTGATTGCCACGATTGGGATCGATTCATCATTCCGTTCGAATCTTGCAGGACTTTGGCTGGTTGCCCGTGCTCCTTCCTGACTTCAGAGTGCCGTAGAAGGGGTCGCTGGAGAGCTCGACTAACAAACAACAGAACCGCAATCATAATCCAGGCTAAGAACGTTCGGGCTAAATGGATGTCACAGCTGCGTCTTCCGCAATATGTAGTCCCATCTGGAGAGTGAAATCAGGGCAACACATGACTCAAATTCCGAGCTCTGGCCAGGAAACCTGTTCTGCATGCATACAAGAGGCCAGCTCAAGTATGAGATTGCTGATGCTGCTAGCTAGCCAGCTGTACTGCTATGGTCATCCTCTTTCTTGATACGATACGTGCTACTGGAAGTGGGTGATTCTATACAGCGCCGGTTTCTATGTCACGGGCTGATGAACCAGCCAGGCGCTTGAATTGTTGCTAGGTAGCTAGTTATTAGTCATCATCTTCATCCTCCTCCTTCTTCAGCTTCATCTCCTTCTTTTGCTTTTTGGCTTCTCGGGCCTCTTTACGCAGTCTTTTGGCCTCTCGCTTCCTCTCTCGCTCGGCTTTACGTTCAGCTTTGCTTTCTTTCTTGTCAGCAGAAGAGTCGCTGCTACCGCGTTTGCGTTTTGATGCGGCAGGTTTTGCTTGCGCATCGACAATCATCTCTTCTTCTTGTTCAGAATCTTCTTCTTGCTTCAGAACCTTTCTTCGTTTAGGAGGTGAAGGGGTTTGCTGCTGTGCTTGTGCCGATAATGCCGACAAGATGGAAGATGCTGACAAGGCTCTGTTTCGCCGTTCTGCCTCTTTTTCCATGAGTTGAGCTGCACCTTTGGCTCCCATGGGTATCCATCTCCGTTTCAACCCAGTTTTCTGTGGCACAGTGTCATAGGCTTTGCGAAGTTTGACAGTGGGTCCACCCGTTTGTGTGGTCGACACATTGGGTGCTGGTGCTCGATCACTTCCAGGAGCCAGCTGAGTGGCAGGCACTTCTTTCAAAAATGATACCAACTTTAGGTGCCGTTGGAAAGGAACATTGGCAGGAATCAAAGTGTTATCTTTTTTCTTCTTTGCAGATTGTTTTTTCTCCTCTTCATCATCATCGCTGTCATCACTACTGTCATCTTCATCACTGTCCACGGGTGCTTTCTTTCTATTATTATTTCCTGGATTCGGAACAAGTAGACGAAAGGATTCGGTTTCTGCTGGATTTCCCCAGCGCAGCGTGAAAGTTTCACCCTTTTTGTTTTTCAAGGAATAGGGCTTGCCGTCATCTGAACTGTCTCCATCTTCAGGAGGATTCAAGATGCCTGCCCCAGTAGCACAGGCTGCTGGAGCCATTGGGATGGAAATTTGGGTACCATCCAAGGCAGACACTTGGACTGATGTCGGCAATCGTATACTCCAGAGTTCATAGCGGTCAGGATCCAGTGAGACTCCATTGTTTCCATGGTGGCGGCTGGTACCGTTAGATTCTTCAAGGGAAAATGTAGGAGGATCCAACCCAAGTGACTTTGGTGGAGTCTTCTTGGCAGAAGATTTTGGTATGGATGCCGCCGATCTTTTCGTTGAAGGCGTCTTGTCCCCTCTGGACTTTGCTGCTGGAGTGGACTTTTTGGAAGACTTTTTCTTGGCCGAGTCTGCACCCGGAGAAGAAGCATCGGACACTGCCCTCGATCTGCGTGTCTTGGATCCATTGACGACGACCATGATGGATGATCTGGCCGTTGGAATGGCAAAGGTTCGGTTTGGAAATTGGGGATCTTTTCTGCAGAGACCTCCTAGATTGTAAAGTAGACTAGCTAGGATTGACTTTGCTGGTCAATGGCCTGGTCTACAGATATGTATTATCAGGACGCTCAGAGACTCTGCCGCAACCTTCTTCCATGTTTTGGGTTGTTGTTGTGGTCGTTGACGGCGGCTTCACTGGAGGGCGTTCAGGTTCTGAGCCGAACTGGGAGAGGAACCGGTACGGGAATCATTCATCGAACCAATTCACGAGTCTGCCTCCAACCGCCCGAAGTATGCACTTTCGCCTTTTTTCACGAGCGCCATGCTAATGCTGCCCATTGTATTGACGCCTCGAAACCTCTGAGAACATGACACAACGGTGCTGTAAGAATATCTCAAAGCAAGGGTAGAAGAAGAGAGCGGATCCTTTTGGCGCCGTTCTATCGTCGCGGCTGCTGCTGCTGCCGTGGCGGCAGTGAGCGAAGCTCCACGATTAGAAACAGTTTCTTCGAATGTGTTTGACGATACACGACGACGATCGGTGATAGAACTACAGCCTGTCATTGTGCGGCTGGATGGCGGCTGGAGAGCCATACCGACAACAGTAACAAAAGCAACGGTGTTCATTGGTCAGCAGCAGATTTTCTGTGACTCGGCTGTTTTCGCTGTGAACTGGGCTCATAAGAGTCGGCTGGGCTGGCTGGCCCATGGTTAGGATGTGGCTCAAGGAAAGCAGCTGGATGGAGGACGAACCCTTTGAGGCTACCACGAAGAAAAACAACAGCCGGTGATCAGCGAACACCACGGTGGAATAGCATCACGGTGGAAACTGTACGATGTTTCTTCGAGTGTCGGAATGGACTGGGGTGGTGGCTGTTCATCGTGTCGACTGATGGTTGTGGCCTGGAGTACTGTGGCTGGACGGAGATGCCAACAGGGGGAAATGGCGGAAAACCAAGGTCACGTCGATACTCGAATCTCATCAACAAGTCGACTTATCATCAGTAGTGTCAACAAGACCACCGGCTACGACGACAGCTGCAAACACTACGATGTTGGTCCCGGGAACACTCGAATTTACCAACTGTCGGCGGCTGCTTGCGTTTGGGCAGTATGCGTATGAATATGTGTGGGATGGCACGAGACGACCCACTGAGACTCCGTGATGGTGATGACAGTGCGTCGAAGCAATCGAGGGCGAAAACAACGACAAATTTTGGATAGTTTGCGCACTGCATCCGCATCAGGTGTCTGAGATGAAATATGTCAGGTATGCACGTGGTGATTGCTTCCAACAAACTGTGTATTACTATGTTAATGGAATTCTGCTCAAACAGCCTTTCACCACCACAAACACTTCTTCAACGATATGCCCATAGAGTGCTTCAGCCATCGCAGTGCGTGCTCCAAACAAAATGTCAAACAAGACTTCGTTCTATTTGTACGTTGCTTCCATCAGGTTCCTGCACTTCCAAGCAATGTGGCCCCAATGGTTTTCATCAGATGGAGAAGAGGGGACCTGGATCTTGGCTAGGCGGCCTGAAACCTCGATGCTTCCGTTTGAAGCATATAGTCTCCAGTTGTCACTGTGCCCTCGTTTTTGGCACTTAGTTGGCCTTGTGCCACCGCGTCCACAGCCAGCTGGACAGTAGAATGCATTTCCATTGTAGCATCCACATGAATTGTGTCTGCTGCTGCCGCAAGTATTGCACTCGCACTGCTTAAGTGTCTTTGGCAAAGCTGAAGCACACCTATTCCGAAGACTACTAAGGAAAATCATCTCAGTGCAAAATGTAGCACTTGAGAGGGTGTGAAGAAATGACTCAAGGATAGTGATCCAATCATAAAGAGACAAGTCTTTCCAGGTCACCTTGCCTGGAACCTTTTGGCCCTGGTCCACGGTTCCTCGGTTCTGTTGTTTACAATAGTGACAACGAAGGTCTTCTCCTGTGGCTGAATGCATGTTCTCTCCCACTTTTGTTGCCAATTCCAAGTCTTATTTGTTGATCACAACACAGATTTGTTCGCTTACAAGCTCACAAAAGCACTTCTTCACTAGCTTGACTTCATTTTCCCATCCTACAGAAGCGGCAAAGGCAGCGTATTCCTGCAAGAATGTTGCTGGTTCAGCCAGGACCTCAACTTTGGGATCACTCTTGAATGCCCCAATCGATTTCTTCTTGCTGGATTGATACCTGGACCAAAATGCCTGTTTGATGGCTCCCATGTCCTTTTCAAGGGCATTGCTTTTCTCATGCAGAGCCTTTAGCTGAAAACTGGATGGAGTCCCATTTTGCATTGACTGGAGGGCGACGTCAACTTGGTTGTGGAGCAGCCTTGTTTGAGTCTTATGGCCACTGTCATCTGGATCATCCACCTTGTTGAAGAGAACAATGACTGGGAGGTGTTTCCTGTTAGAAAGATTCTGCTTGATGAGTCTAAGCAAGCCAACCTGCTCCTCTGTGTTGACTCCTTGCCTCGCATCCATGACAACAACCACAGAATCAAAGTTTTTCCAGTTCTCCTGTACATAGTTCATGTAGATACTGTTGGAGTCTGCTTCATTGATCCCAGGTATGTCCACCAGGAAAAGAGAGGTGTTCTTGCGCATCTCACACAATGGATCACAGCCAACATTGAACCACTTCTCTTCAATCTTCTGAGCTTCACGGAGCTCCTTGTTGGATTTTGCAACCTCCTGATGCACCTTGTCAGCATTCTTGATTTCTTCCTTCTGTCCACTGCTCAGACTCTGTGGTAGCCTCAGTGCTTGGCACAATGCGGAAGAAGTTGATGCCTGCTGTTGTTCGACTCATTGATACTTCTCCAAATTTGTCACCCAGAATGGCATTGAGCACTGTTGTCTTTCCAACGCTAACATGGCCCAGAAGGGCAACCTTGATCTTAGACCAAGGACTGCTCATCATTCTGATCAGCTGAGAGGGAAACGTCAAACGAGATCTTGATGATTGTAGCAGCTACTGTACGTCCAGCAACGAACCTTCGCCCGTGAGCACAGAAAAGTCAAGAGGATTGCAGAAAAACGGGAGCCGCAGGCTCGAAAGCTATAACGCCCCGGACCAGGGAGCTACACATGTGCGAGCTGAAATTTCCCCCTCCGTAACAACACCTATGCATATGTTGCATATATCCGTTCGCGATCTTCGGCGCACGTCCGTCGGCCAGAGGTATCGGTAACTACACAAAGCGAGGAAGCTGCAAGAGTGCCGGTAGACTGGGACACCTCGATCGCAAGGGCGGGCATCGCTACAGTTAGAACCGAGGACTGATCAGAAGGGATGCATCGATGCCTGCAAGCATGACCGCAACGACGGATCGAACGGTTGGCTCTCCGCTCATCGGATTAGTTTTTGGAACGACACAAACGACCATGATAGGCGGCTTGTTTTTTAGCAATGATTTTACATGTTTCTCTAAGGCCGCATCCAAGTCTGTATGGTCGAGGCCTGACAACCCGCGATCGCTTTCGTCCCGTTGCTCCATTGTTACCTGCGGCCGCAGGCACCGGGTGTCGTCACCGTCGAGAAAAAAGGAAGACACTCTGAACGAAACAGAAACCATCGCACAAGCAGCCACAAACACACAAGCACACCCCCGATCACTGAGTGGCGATGCGCTGGAGCTGATCGAATCGATGAGCTTGGCTAAAGCGTTGCTTCAACACCTACTTTAGTGGCCGTGGCGTTCTTGACACTGGAAGTAAACATCTCCAATCTGCTGGAAAAGAACGCTTGCCGACGTTGGCTTTCCTCCTTCGCGTGCTTTTCCATCTCTTCGGTCAGAAGGTGGTTGTCCACCATCGTCTTTTGAATGTGAGATTCCGTCTCGGCAATCTCAGTTGCTTGCTTCTGGTGGATTTCTTCGACCATCTGCAGCAAGTGTTCAACCTTTTGGACCAACTCGTCCCGAGATTCTTCGAGGACCTTCAAGAACTTTTCTTGGATTTCAGTCATGCGAGTGACTGCTTCCTCGTAGCGACGGCACAAATCTGCACGCTCTTCATGCGGCTCGACGATCATTTCTTTCGTAATCTCGCCATCGTCGTTTGTACCTGTACCGTTGCTCGTAGAACTGTCTTCGTTATCGGGTTGATGCTAGACCGAGCGAATTGAGAAATGAGGACGATGGCAAAAGGGACGACGACAAAACAGACGGGCACAACAGACAGAAGCATTGGTTGCTCACCTCGTCTTCGTCCTGAGACACCTTCTCCTGGGTCTCTGCGTCTGCTTCATCTTCTACAGGAGCTGGGATACCATGAATACGGGCCAACAAATTTTCGCGTGTGTTGTGCCAATCGTCATCAGCCCTGTGCATCGCATTGGTAAGCTCGGTTCGTTGCTTGTGATTGTGAATCAGTTGTTTCTTTGTTTTGTCTGAAAGGCGTTCGAGTTTGCCCTGCTTGCTTTTGTATTCGCCTTCGACCCATTCAAGAAATTCATGGATCTTGGATCCCATCTTGCCTTCAAATGTCTGGTGCGCGGCCCGCAATCGTTGAGTGGCGTCGGCCCAGCGTTGCTGCCCGTTCAAGAATTGCTGGAGATTGTACGGCACGGACCCTTCCGACTTCTTCTGTGCGACGAACGCATTCCACTGCTCCTCTGCCTCCTTCTCCTCTTCGGTGGGTTGATCATGCTCCTCCTCGTTGTCAACGTTTTCGTCTTGATTTTCCTCCTCGCGGCTCTCACGTTCTTTCTGTTCTCCACGGTAGTGGTTGCCAGTGGCGTTTCCCTGGAGAAGGACATGGTGCGACGAAAAACTGATTGGTTGAAGCAGTTGAAGACGAAATGAGCAACCCACAAGCACATTGAACACGACTCTTACCTCTTCTTCATCCTCCTCCTCGACGCCGTCGTTGTCAAAGTCGACCGTTTGGTTTCGGTCGTCTTTGTCGTGGTGGTCACCCCCATGAGCTGTCTCCTCTGTACCGAACTGTGGTGGAGGAAGCACCGCAGCTCCATCAAAAATCGAGGCTCCTTCGTCATTTTCGGGGCCTTTGAATCGCTTGCTTGGATGGGGCGTTCCGCGACGCACCATCATGGCTTGGCTTTCCTCCAACTCGTCATCCCCCCGATCGTGGACATGATCAAAGACAACTCGCCTTTGTGACGCAGCAACGTGAGGCGCTGTGGCTTCCATTTCACCCGAGTCTCTCATCGTGCTGTCCAACTTCCAAAACTGCGAGTGCGAAGAAGAAAGAGAGGTTTTTGACGACGAGCCGCAAAGAATGAAACAAACGATTGAAGACTGACGAGAGACGACTTCCGACTTCCGACCCGACTTTGGGGAAAGCGAAACATTCTTAACCTCAAGGGCAATCCGATGGTGACGTCATACATTATCCGTTTAATCTGCCGAGGAGGGCGGCATGCTCCCTCACACGACTACAAGGCCAATGCTTTCATCATGGCCAAACGAGGCCGTGGTCCTCTTTTCTATCCGGTGCATTGACCCATCTCATCATCAGCAGACATTGAATCAATCCACGAGAAACCGATCTGTAGACAATGATGGCACCTGGTTCAGGACAAAAACAAAGGGACTATGACTATCTCTTCAAGCTAGTGCTCATTGGTGATAGCGGTGTGGGCAAGTCTTGCCTGCTGCTACGGTTTGCGGTGGGTCTAGCCGAAATTTCGAAAATTCAGCTCCGTGGCGCAGCACTCTGCTCCACAAACTTCTCGTTGCTTGGTCTCACACTGCATTCTTTCTCTTCATGCTTTTTGTAGGATGATGCATTCACCGAGTCCTATATCTCCACCATTGGTGTTGATTTTCGATTTCGAACGGTGAAGATTGATGGCAAGACTGTCAAATTGCAGATTTGGGATACGGCAGGGCAAGAGCGATTCCGAACCATTACATCGGCATACTACCGAGGCGCCGATGGTATTATTATGGTCTACGACACAACCAATGTGGAGTCCTTTGATCACGTGAACGATTGGTTGAAGGAAGTGAATCGATATGCTGCTGAAAAGACGGTGAAATTGCTTGTCGGCAACAAATGCGATCGAACAGCCGACAAGGCAGTCACAGAAGAGCAAGCAAAGGAATTTGCTGATGATTTGGGAATTGCTGTGCTGGAGACTAGTGCCAAAAGTTCCAAGAATGTGGAAGAAGCTTTCCTCACAATGGCAGGCGAACTAGTGCGGCAGAGAGCTTCCCAGGGCAATGAAAACGGCGATAGCAAGAATCAAGGCATTGACTTGAATGGCACGGCAAAGGACGGAATTCTCAAAAATTGCTGTTAGACAGCAACCTACAATTCACTATTTACTTCACAACACATTTCAATGAATCGAATCAATCATCAATCTACAGTACATCCGACACGACAATTGATAAGGTCTTTGGCTTTCTTGGTTGGAATTCCAGAGAGAAATTGCTGCTCTATCAACACGATTATCTGAGTATCTTTTGATTTTTGCCAGCCTTGGATGTCTTGGTTCCACGGGAAATAGTTCTAGCTAGAGTGTCTGGTGGCCACAAGAGTAGTGTAGCCTACATCCTAATCATTGTACTAGAAGGGCCGCCAAAAAGGGCATTATTATGTTGTTGCTTTGTGCATGTTCCGTTACATGTATCGGTCAATCCTAGTTAATTTTTACAGATGTGATTGTCCCCGGCAAAGAATACTCGACCTAGCAGCCAGAGAGTGACAAAGACAATGGTATTGAATCCTTGCCATCGCCACAGCAAACGAAACAAGTAAAGGAATACCGGCGGATTGTCATAGTTGATTTGCAGCCATTCAAACTTGATGTCTTTCCATAGTTCATGTGACAAATTGACATTCAAGTACTTGGTTTGCATCTTGACTTCGCCTTTAACTGCCAGAGGTATCTGAATGTCAGCAGGAATCATGGCTCTCGACAGACAAACATTGAGGACCATGAGTAGAAAGGAAAGCATATAGGAGGAGGGAAAAGGGTAGTCTCCTCCACTGGTTGTCATGAGTACTGGTATGGTCCAAAGATGATGGGTGACGGTGACTCTTTTCGCATTGGTAGTTTCGGGCCAGGTTAAATATGTGGCCACGCCCAAGGGAAACTTTCCAACTGCCATATACGCCAACAAGTCCACATACCACAGTAGTTGGTTAATCCCCACTGTGACACAGCAGGCCAGGGAGATCATGGGTCGATGAGAGAATGATGCCAAGGATCCCAATACCAACGTTCCATTGCACAACCATGTGTACTCGTAGAGGAGGGCATGCCGAACCCAGTTTTCGGACCAATAGATTCTCCATGGCAAGAACCAGGCCGAGTAGAGTACCAAAAAGATTCCAACCTTGCGACGATGGGCTTGACAGGACTCTGTCATGGACCATGAGGTATCCTCCATCAAAACCATCCAATCATGAACCCAAAAGGTGACAACAATGAGGATTGAGTAATGACAGACGACTACCGCCACAGGATGAGCCCAATCATGGTGTTTGGCCGCATGAGGGCCTTCTTGAGCCAGCCAGGAGAGTACCATTCCTATACTATAGTCTAGTCTACTCTACTAGTATGTAGTAGTTAGCTTCAGTTATTAGCCTCCTGCATGAAAGAAGAAAAGCAGAAAAGATATCCGATGGTAAAATGGGTGGTAATAATAAGATAAATACTCTGAAAGTTAACGTATCTTTGTAAGCTAGCTTAAAACTGTTCGGGTTGCACCGGCCTGGCACCGCTTGCAAGAGATCTTTGGAGGACCGCTCATCATCCAGGAGCAATGGCCAGCTTTTAAAATTGCATGAACGGCCTTTGGATTTAGTGGTACTACTACGATACTGTTGTCTCTACTCGGTCCACTTGAGTTGTGTTGCTGTATTGTGGATTAGGGTGTTGAGGCAGAAGAAGTTGGTTAATGGAGAAAGTGATCTGAGAAGCAAGTGCAGTAAAAAGGATACTCTTTTGGGATACTCTCAACAATGACCGACAATAATAATAAGAACCTGGCCAATGGCAGCGGCAACCATGCTACCAATCAAGATAAGGAGGAGATGATTGTGGCGATGCCAACTTCTGGTCTGGAATCCAAGTTAAAGACTCTTCGAGAAAAGTCCAACCAACACAGCCAAATCTTGACGCAAAAGCTGGCGTCTTCCCAATCCGGCCAAAATCTCCTCCACATTGGCACCAGTTTGTCGTCGCTGCCACCAGATTTGCACTCTCTATTGACGCAGCTTCATCCCGTCTTGTCGGCAGCGGAAACCACAGAGCAACAACAGATTCAAAAATTACAGGCACTAGTGCAACATGCCAATGAAATTAGAGCCGAACAAAGACGCATGGTGAATGCTGCCGATTGCGCTGAATTGTACCAAGATTTGTTGGCTGCCGAACGAGACGTCAAACGAGATGCCAACATACGAAGAAATGCTGGTAATAACAAAACTGCTAGATTTTCCGTAACATTCGCCGCGGCCAAAGACGACGAGGATGGAGCGACTCAGGAGGACAGTAAGAGTATCTTTGGAGGAGTTTTAGGTGAGTTTTTTCCATTTGGAGGACGATAATCTAAATGATTTGTCTTGTATCATCATGCTCAGCCCTTGCTAAATTTTTTGTTCAATCAGACGAGCTAGATCATGTCATGTCTCTGGAGCGAGCAGCTCATACAACACTCTGTCTCGTCAAAGATTTGCAATCGAGCAATGCGCAAGTTACGGCAATGACAACCGCAAAGGCAACGGGAACCAATACGGCGAACAACCCCGACTCGAAAGGAGCTTCGGCCACCAGTGGCGCACTCCCATCCTTGCGAGCTCCTTTGGAAGACGACACCGAACGGGCGCAACTGCTCCTCAAATTAGCACCTCGCATTCGTCGACTAGAGGCGGATTCCATCACCTCGTTGAGCCATCGCATGGAAAATGTCCTCAATCGGTTCCAAATTCTGCGAGAACGAGACCCACAGGATGGACCCGTAGAAGGAGAATCTCGCACCGAATCGGAACTGCTCATCATGCTCGGCCATTCCATGCGAGGACTGGCACTGCTAGGGCGGGGAAAAGAGGTGGAAAGCGTGTTTGCACGGGTTGCCATTATGTAAGTACCAAACACAGTGAGACATTGAAAAACGTGAATCCCCGTCGGAGTTTCTCACAGCTCCCCTGTTGGATACAAAAAGGCCTCTGATTCGATCCAAGGTTTCCATGGGAAGATTAGATGAAGGAGGTTCCCGTGGTGAATGCGCGGGTCTATTTTCTTTGATGGACGACATTGCCACGTCAATCACCAAAGCGTTCGGTCCTGTCCTACGATTGGTCGAGTCCATGTTTCATGCCGAATCGATGCCAGGGACCACCGAGGCCGCGGCCAATTCAATGATGGGAGTAGATCTCGTCACTGCTGGGGTATGGGTCCCCATTGCAACTGCCTTGATGGCTGATGCTGGTATTAAGATGGCGATTTTCTCTCCCGGCATTGCCAGTATTCTGCAGGCAAATTATCTTGCTCTGGACACTTTCTTGGCAGAGCTGGCAGAACGATTACTGGTAGCTGTCGAAGCCAGTAACGGCGGAACTGAAGGTCGCGCAGATGCGTGCATCTCGCTGAACATGAATGTCATTCTGGAAAAGAGTGCCATCCAAGCGGCACAGGATCGCATCTACTTGCATCCCAAAACTGCAGAATTTTCCAAAAAGTGGAATCTCCCCATCTACTACCAGCTGCGCTTTGGAGAATCCTGCAATCGATTGAACAAGGCCGTGACGACGACTCAACGCGAAGGATGGATTGCAGATGTATTCGCGGGCCCTCCAGAGGATCTGGAAAAACTAAAGAACCAGGCCGGTTTTGAGCTTCCACTGTTCTTGGAGCTATACGACATTTTACTTGGTCTCTGGAGACCCGACGTCATTTTGCGTCCTTTGACCCATCGATTCCTCAGAGGTGCGATTCAGCTTGTCGGCCGCACTATTTCGTTCATTAGCGAGGGCATGGAGGGAAAGATCAAATTCGGCGAAATCCCGCCCGAGGAAACCAACAATGGAACCAAAGAAAACGGACAAGGGGCAGATTCCGATGCTGCTCCCGTGGAAAGACCCTTGGCACGAAAGCCATATAGCTGGGGCGAAAGCGAAGGGGATGTTGGAGCTGTCGCGTGGGAGTTAACCATCCTGGAATCCACAATAGCTCACGAGTACGTTGACACAGTTGTGGGAGCACTGAGCAGTCGAGACACCAGTGAGACCGAGCAATCGGAACTAAGGAATTTGGCCGCTGAAGTGCTCAAAGAAACATCAGAACAGATCAATCCACTAATCGACAGCGCATGGAACACTTACATTGTGAACATTCTCACATCGAAGTGCTCCAACCCACTCGCCGCTGTCAAGGGCGTTGCCGCCACGTATCGTATGACGAACCGGCCTCCGCCGACAATGGCATCTCCTTTTGTTGGAACCATTCTTCGTCCCTTGAAGGAGTTCCAGAACGAGTTTGAAAGTCGAACCCCAGATCGCGTTGGGTCAAAATGGAGGGAGCAAATCATAATGACTGTCGCGGATCGATACAGCGTTGCCGTCGATGAGCTCATCCAGACTGTAGCACGTACAGAAGTTGCGCTCAAGAATAGGAAGGCGAAACGTGCCGCCGTTGGAGGAATGAGTGACGGAGAGAAAGTGAAGCTCCAGCTGTTCCTCGATTACAAGGCGTTCACGGAGCATGTGAGAGAAGTCGGAGTTGATCCCACCATCGTGAAGGGTGTTGACAAGTTGAAGCAGCTGACAGTCGAGGCTGAGGCACTGCTAGAGAGGCAACGAAACGGCGGCAAATAAATTGCTCCAGTAGAGCGTAACAATTAGGTCAATATAACCTATAGCAAAATGACAACAAAATTATGCCGCGTTAGCGCTGCAACTACACGGATAGCAGACTTGTTTAGTAGCCCATTGCACATCCATCCGCTCTACCGTCGGATCCAGCCCAGTAAACTCCTGTCTTCCTGTCACGCTTGATGATTTGGGCTCTCCCGAACACGGCTCGGTCGTGTCCGACAACATTGACTTTGAGATCGTGTCCTTTCTCCGTCAGTTCTTTGAGGATCGTCTCGTCTAGTCCACCTTCCATGAAGATCTTGCCATCGCGAGTTCCGTCAGTAATGCAAAACCTGGGATTGTCTATGGCTTGTTGGGGGTCCATACCTCCCGCAACCATGTCGATTGTGAGTTGTAGGTGACCCTGTGGTTGCATGTTCCCTCCCATGTTGGAGATTGTTGAGTGTAGCTCATTGGTGTCCGCATATGTCAGCATGGCTGGAATTATGGTGTGATACGGTCTCTTGCCAGCAGCGAGGCAGTTGGGATGTTCTATGTCGTCTAGGGTGAAACCAAATCCTCTGTTCTGGAGAGAAAATCCACATCCTCGAGGAACAATCCCAGACCCAAAACCCATAAAATTGGAGTTGACAAACGAGATGGCGTTTCCGTCTTTATCTGCAACCTGAAAGCTTACAGTGCAGCTCGAAGGACTGGGTACTCCTTTCGCCATTGCCCTTTGTGGATTGAAGAGTTCCTTTGCTCGCTTTCCTATTCGATCCTGATCCACAAACCACTCGTTGGGAACTTTTGTATGATAGGGGCATGCAACTTGTGCTCTGGCATCTTCAAATCCGAGACGGGACATTTCTATCAGTGCATGATAGGCATCCGCCGTCTTCCCTACCGTTGCTGGCGACAATTCGGGGCACAGGTTGTTTTCCTCTAGATGTCTGAGACCGGTCAAGGCAACCAATGCGGCAACGCCTTGACCGTTTGGAGGCACCTCCCATAGTCTAACCCCCCGATATTCGGTCGATACTGGCTCTGGAAAGGTGGATGTATGCGATTTCAAATCATCAATGGAGAGTTTCCCACCATGCTTTTGAACTGCTGCCGCAATGGCTTTGCCTGTTTCACCCTCATAAAAGCCTTCTGTAGCTCCTTTGGCTCCGAGATCTCTCAATACTCGAGCCATATCTTTGTTGACTATAATATCGCCCGGATTAGGTCCATTCTCAGCCAGTAGTGGTACCACTTCACCATCATCAAGCCATCTCTTGATGAGATGCATACCTGATTTCCAGTGGTAGGCTGTCACGGGAGACACCGGGAACCCTTCTTCGGCCAAGACCGCAGCAGGTTCCAGCAGTTCAGCAAGCGTAAATTTTCCCGACCCGTGCCGTTTCCACACGTCTTCATACCCTCGTGCTGCACCGGGGACCGTCACCGCATGAGGTGAAGCTTGAAACTTGACAGCATCGATGGCTCCTTTGCCATCATCACAATCGGCTTTTGCAACCTCCATCGTCAGTTGGCTGGGGCTGCAACCACTGCCATTGATGGCCGAGACAGAACGTTCCTTGCTATTATAATACAAACAAAACATGTCACCACTGGAAGTTGGAAGAAAGCAGACATGCAAGTGTTCTTGTGAGACATTCCAGTAAGTCTACATACCATTTCAATAAGAATCCTGGCAGCTTACCCTAAGCCTGTACTACAAGGTTCCACAACAGATAACGCTGCAGCGACAGCAATAGCAGCTTCGGCGGCATTGGCGCCCTTGCGCAAGAGATCCAGCCCAATCGAGGATGCCAGCGGCTGACTTGATGCTACGCAACCATTTCGACAGAGCACTGGTGATCTTCGGGATAAAAAGGGGATCTCGTCCACGACAGGGCCAGCGTCAGCTTTTTGTGCTGCTGCAAACCAATCTCCCATGGTCTTGGTTGTTCTATAGCTCCTTCTACACAAATTCAATTTCAGGGCAACTGTAACACCATACTCTATAGCCACCGTTTCCTAGGAGCCTCCACAGAAAGGTTTGGTGTGGGTGCATCATCGTCCGATGGAGGTTCAGGGTTCAGTTTGGGCCTGATGCCACATCCCAATGACGTCAGTGTGAAATTTGACAGTTCCAACGGCTTATTTGACACAATCCACGACGTGTGATCCCACGGTGAGCAATCATCCAATCTGGATCAACCAAGTTGGCATCCTTCAGCTCTGGGTTGCTGCACTACTAGCTAGCTTGGCCCAAACTTGCTGGAGCCATAGTCTTCTTGGCATCAACACTTCAGCTTGCGTTCATGGCTACGAAAGTTAGAGATTCTACAGGAAATCAAAAGTCTGTCTCTTACACATCGTGTAACAGAGCTCTCGATGCCCAAAACCTCCGCATACATTCGAAACACCCGCCACGTGTGTGTCGAACGTCCCATCCTGGCTCTACTAGCTAGAAAACAAGGTGGGAATAGACAGTTCATCGTTGCCGTTAGCGTAGCTAGCTATGGCAGTTTCATGTTTGTTTTGTTCTGTAGCATTTTGGTGTTCTCGCTTTCTTATTGCTGGTCCGCCACTCGTCGTAACGACGCATTGATGGCCTTGAGCCTGTCTCTAGCAGCCTCGAGCCGTTCGCTAATCGAGTGCATTTCGAGAATATCTTGTCGACTCACGACGGGTTGGTTCCCCACAGGGCCAATATTCTCCATGAGAATCCACACGACAAAACTCAGACGTTGGGCCCGACGAAGAATGGGATATCGTTTCAAGGGGTTGTCGGCATAGTCGTATCGTACAAAAGGCGATTTGGAATAGGTTCCCACTGTTGGCGGCATGGCAGCGGCATAATCTTCCAGTCGATTGGCGAATTGATCCAACTTGAAATCTCCCGGCCAGGGAATATATTGTTGACTACAACAATCTCCCCGAGGCAATAATCCCAGCATTTGGGTCGGGACCGGTGTCACAATGGGGGAAGTGGGATTGGGATTCAATTGATACAAGAGTTTGACTAGCTCATCGACTCCCAACCAAACTTCATGTTCCAGCTGACCGACTTGTTCCAGATCGAGTTGTTTCAAATTATCGGGCAGATCCACGGGCGACGCCGAGAACAAGTGTTTTTCCATGACGGTCCCGACACGTTCCTTTTGGGCTTGCGCTCGGTCCATATCCAACGGAAATACCGTTTCCACATCGACATCCATATCGTAATTGACAAGTGGCGCCACTGCCCCCATGGTGGACGATTGTACCAAGACGGGTCGATATTCGAATTGCCGCAATTGTTCGGCTGCTTCCAATGCGGCCGCGCAAGCGGCTCCCCAGGCATCTTGATCGTGCAAAAAGTCATCGCTTAATTCGCGTGCCATGGATTGTGCCTTGTCGTAGTAGGTCATGGCGAGTTCGGTATCGGGGCATAGTTGCACCGTGGCCACGGCGTACGGGGTGTGCTGTGTGGCTTCGATGACTTGGAATCGTTCCAATGCCTGTACCACCAATACCAATCGACCGTCTTCGAGTTGTCGGGAATCGGCCACTTGCATGAGGACGCCAGTGTAGGTTGCTTTTGTTTTATTATTACTTTCCTCCGACGACAAGAGCTGATAGTCTGGATTGTCCAAATTTTCACTGCCCCCTGGAAGAAAGACATGTCCAAAGTACCATGGTTTGGGTCCTGCCAAGATGGTGTGAAACATGTGGGTATAATGGGCCACATGGCAATTCAATAGGTTTTGATATCCTGGCAATTCCGTCCACTGCACTCTCCACAGAGGGACGTTTTTCAGAATGGTATTGCAGGAATCGCTAATGGCCGTGGTAGTGGTACGGTCGTTGGTACTAGAGCCTTCTGCTTGTTGTTGGTTTTGGAGTTGCCGATAAAATGATTTTTGGATCTTTCGGACATTGTCCATTCGATTTCGGCGTTCGTCGGGAGTTTCTAAATCGTTGGGGTTGATGCTTTCTTCCTTGTCTTCTTCTTCTTCATCGTCGTCATCGTCATCTCTGCTGGAAGCCAAAAATGAAGATATCCTGATGCTACCGCCAATAACTCCATTGACGGGTAGAATCGTGGGAAGCTTGATGGGGAGCGTGGGTGATGGAGAAAAGCCTCTCACAGTAATGGTGGGCAGCCCTAGCAGTCCGCTCGCAAATAGGATAAGCCAGGCCCGCATCATGGTCGACTAGCTAGCTGGCTGCAGAGAACAATGAGAGCAGTTGATCACTCTTCCTATGTGGATATCATTGTGTTCTGATGCCGTCAGCTGTGGGATCTTTGTGAAGTTGTTCTGATTCTTTGTTGAGTGCGTGTTGTCATTGGCAGAGGCAGGAGATTGAATCATTCAGCTGAACTGGCTTTTTGGGATCACGAAAGTACGGGATTGATCGGAGCAGCAGCCAACCGCTCGAATCTTCACCCTTCATTTTTTGTTTGTTTCTTCCTGTCTTTGCTTTTCTCTGTTTCAGGTGGTCCTGTGTCCTGTGGCTCTACGATACCGACTTGCTATCTATCCATCTAGCCAGCTACAGGTATTCTGGAAGACAGTCTGAGTTTGTGTGAGCTGTATTTGCGTATAGTTCAAGATGGATCGTCCGTTGGAATCTGGCCGAGACAGAGACCATCCCTATGGCGGTGGCGGAGGGGGGCGACGAGACAACCACTACGGTGGTGGCGGTGGCGGTGGCTACAATAACAACCGAAGAGGCCGAGGGAGGGGACGAGGTGGCTTTCGTGGAAGGGGACGCGGCAGAGGTCGAGGTGGACGAGGAGGTCATCACCATCACCATCGAAATAATCAACATCACCGCAACAACAATAATCGCGACAACAATCGGGAATGGCAAGATCCCAATGCGGTCCTCATTACTCAATTGTCCGTCATGGTCAGTCGCGTGGGTGAATACAAAGTCGCAGATGATCCTCCTGTGAACACGGCCAATCTGCGTCCCGTCGTGGCCGTCTGCGCCCAGAATATTTCCAGCTTGTCCACAGTCGTCTCCAAACCGACCAGTATTGCCACCTTTCTCAAATTCATTCCCCCACCTCCTCCCAAAAAAGCAACAGAAAATGCCACGGGATTTGGATTCACGCGATCACCTCCCAAACCAGAAGATCAGGCAGGGCCCATGGCACACCTCATTGTCAGTTGTGCGGCCACGCTGCCACTCCAAACACCCTCCTATGCCGCATTGACCATGGCCGTCAATGCCTATTCCAAATCGCACGAGGATTATGCCGGATTTGCTGGTCGATGTGTCACATACACGCTACAACGATTGTCCTGTGATATGGATTTGCTACTGCTTCAAAAAGCGGAAGAACGATCCAAAATTGCCTGTCGCATCAAATTGCTATTGCGCTATCTGGCACTCCTCGGTAAATTGGAAGTTATTCAAGTACGGGACAACAGCGATCAAGAAGAAACAAATAACGAAGAAGAAAACGAGGACGATGATCCGGAAATAGCCAAAAAATCACTTTTGGGGTTCTTGCAACAATTCGTCGAAGCGGCCGTGGCAGCGGCACCTACCGAAGATGCCTTTGCGCCCACAACGTCTTTTAATGCGGCAGCACCCTTGGTTTTGGTCTATTTCATTCTCAGTACCATTCCCTATTTGGCATCCTACGTACCTGTCGATGTGATTCAGGAACTATTGTTGGATCCCCTACAACCACTACTGGGACCCTATTCCTCGTCTTTTTCACCGGGAGTCGGCATGACGGCTATTTTGCTAAAGGAAGAACAAGCAGAGGGTGATGAAGAAGAAGAGGATGACGACGATGAAGAGGAGGAAGAAGAACAAGCATCCGAAGTCGTTTGTGACAGCTTGCAAGATTTGAATCGATCCGTACAACTCTTGCTGAAACAAATTGCCAACGACGACAACACGGCCAAGGCCAGATTCGCTCTCTTGACGGATGAGCCTTGGAAGGGTGTCTCGGGGCCACCGAAGGCAGCTTCGGATACTGCCATGGATACGGCGGCGCCCACGACCGAAGGAAACGGTCAAGATCAACCCATCAAGCAAGAGGAGGAACAACAAGAGCAAGACACACCGGCTCCCGAACCATTGGTCAATCCGGACCCACCCATACGCTTGATCTTGCCCAAGGGAGGATTTCAATCGTTGGCTGTCATGACCAATCCACAACAACCCAATGAACTCGAGGAAGACGCCAACAATAGTAGTGCCCCTAAAATCCAGTCGTTTCCTCTCGAAGTTGTGGTCTTTGGCCGGTTGCCAATTTTTGGAGCACCCAAAGGAAACGATGACGAGACTAATAATAACGATGACGACGATGACATGGAAGATGACGACGCCCCTGCTAATGAACAGGTGGCGGCGTACAGCAAAGAGTTTGGCATCTTGGATCGATGCTTCCTGGCCGATGCCATTCGAGATTTGCTATGCTGTCTCGAATCGGCCGTCTCGGCCACGGGCTTGGAACGTGGCTCGGTCAAGGCTGTTGCGGAACAGCTCTGGTCCTTGGGACATGTCTTTGGCGGTGGCACTACAACTAATACTGCGGCATCACCACCGACTGGTCTGGAGTATGGCATTTTGGAAGTAATGCTCTCTTTGATCGTGCAGTCATCTTCCAACAGCACGTTTCGACAGGTCTATCTGTCTCGAGTGTTGTTGGAGTTGACCAGATTGCAGCCATTATTGGTATCTCCGGCCCTCGCCCTGGCAGTCTCCAACTTGTTTCAGGACTACACTCCGTCGTTGGTGCCCGCGGCAAGATACAATCTGGGTTGTTGGTTGGCGTTTCATTTGGTCAACACCGACTATCAATGGCCAGCTGCCTATTGGACTCACTGGCAAGCTCATGTCGGCGATGGCAAGAACCTGAATAGCCGAGGAGTTGTCGTCAAGACTACTTTGCATTTCTTGATGGAAAACGTACACAACCCATCCAACTTGGTCAAGGACTGTCTGCCAAAGGAATGCACCGGTTTAGTGAGCCAAATCGTGTGCCCCTTTCAAGCTGATGAAATGGAGGATGGTTCTGTCATTGACAATACCGAAAAGGACATTCGAAGAAGGGTTTGGGACGACGACGAACACCCAGATACATTGTTGAATTACCTGATTGGCGAAGAATTATCAGAGGCCATAGCTGGAGATGTCTTGGATGCAAACTCTAGTCCAAAGCGGATGTGGTGCCGCAGTGGGTTATTGCTCCGTGCATTGTTGCAGCCATTGGAAAGGGAACACCGGCGTCTGCTGGGAACAATTGAACAGGCACAGAAGAGCATGGTCAAAACGGAAGGGGAAGAAAAAGCAGCGATGGAAGAGGATGAAGAGTTGTCGGATGATACATTGACTGTCATAGAAGAAGTTCTAGTGCGTCATGGGAGGACTCTTACTGGTGCTATTCAGAAGGATAAGGAGATTCTCGAGAAAGTGCTGGAAGGAACCGAGAAGGATGGCAATCATCTGACGACATGCGAGCCGTATCTGCTGAGCATTCTGGCTACGAAGGGTGCGTTTTCAAGAACGGTCGTAGAAGCCTGCCTGGCAAACCTCCTTCAGCAATCTGTCTTGAGCAGCTTGGGCGTACTTCGTTGGGCTCTTGGTGAGCTTGTGGCAAGGGAGGGGAGCGAACAGCCTTTGGTTACAGAGAGATGGTGGGACTTTGCCGTGGACGCCATTCGCAATGAGCTGACCAAGAAGCTAGCAGAATCCAACGACGCAGGTGGTGGAGGCATGGTCATTGATAGAACAGGTGAAAACACCGCAGAGGCCGAGTCTGGAGCTCCCCAGGACGGAAACGTGCCGGGCTCGAAAACTCTTGCAGCTATTGAGTCGACCGGCCCACTCCTTGATTACATTGTGAGAAGGGCATGCACTCTCCTCTCCGAACAAACTGATGATCAGCAGCACGGCAACAAGCTCAAGCCACTACAAGTGGATCTTGTGGAAGGCGTCAAGGCGTGTGTTCGTGCGACTCATGGCTTATTCATGTCAGAGCTGAAAAAGCTCAAGGACAATGGGCCGTCGGAGAGAGACATCAAGGATTGCCTTCAAGAATCGAGTGTGGCGGGCACGAAGCTTGCTGGTGTTTGTTCCGAATTCAGCGGCAGTAATGCTCTGATCCTTCTGCGCGATTCCCTCACATCTGTATAAGACAGGGACTAAAGTAAAGGTATAAGATATTTAAAAGTTGTGTTGTTTTGTTTGTTGATGCTTGCAACCAATGCAAGATCAGAATCAGGGCACCTGCTCTACTACCGTACTGCTTCTACGGAACGATACTGCAAGCCAGGTTGAAGCATCGTGAATGATGAGAGTTCCCGCAGAGTGAGCCAAAACGAAAGTCCAACATTTCTTTGTAATCGTCCGACCTAAACCCAAACATTGCCTTGCCTGCGTGGGAAATGCTAGTGCCGCCCACGAGAAGTCAAAGTTATCGGAAATGGCGGGATCTCGATGGAACAAAACCTTGCCCTGGAACGGAACAATCGAGCTGCGTGGGTCGTAGCCTTTCATATCAGGACTGGTCGCTTTGATCGCAGCTTCACCACCAGTCGGGACGGGCTTCGCCTTCGACAATCACACATGGTACTTGAGCCGCTTCACGACGAAGCTGCAAAGGGTTTGCAGAACCTAGCGTGAGAGACACTTGGGTATTCCATCAGTCATACCAATTCTTGTTTTCTTGGTACATGGCTTTTTCGACGAGCGGTATCGTTCCTCCGGCCGCAAGCTTTGCTCCGAACTTCTTGGCAATGTTTCCGCCTCTTGGACCGTACCGGTACTACCGAAGCAGTCAACTTTGCAGTGCCAGCGATCTCGAGGAATGCCAATCCGTAGCCGATGCGTACATGTACTCTTCAACTCTTCACAAGGAACAGTGTGTGAGAACCTCCACAGTACGGTACTACCGTAGCTATGCAGCCAATCTAGTTTGAGCGTCAAAGCCATGAGCTGCCGCACTTCGAAGATCTTCATCGCAGTGGTTATTGGTATTGTACCCTGGTTGCAGCCACATACCGGTACAAAGAATCTCATGAAAGTCGAGCTGCGCTCTTGACGGTGCTCGTACTGTACCGGTACCAGCACCTCTCGGTAAAAAGGCTGCTATTCGTGTATTGATCTTTTTCTCATTTTGTTCAGAGTAAAAATGGTGGGAAAGGGCGTGAGGCTCCATGGAGTTTCATGGGACTGGTCCAGTCACTGGTCGCAGCAAAATTCAAAAAGCAGCACCCACACACCTTCTTTTGAAATTCCCGCCATACACTACAGCGTACTAGTTTACGGAGGGTTATGAGCCACCGAAAATTTACATCTTTTTCTGAACCTCAGAAAAAGAGTCGGCCATGGTGCTTCTGACGGCATTTCGGAGGGAAACCTGTATAGGCAAAACATGATCCAAAGCAAGGAATAGTTAGTCTTAATAGTATAGATGACTGCACAACAGAAAGATAGACGTTCGTACCTGTAGCTAGTATCGAAATCTGCCATTCTGTTATCTCGTTGGATTTCTCGAATTGGAATCTCATCATCAACAACCACTGTAAAGTGGCCGACAGCTCCATTCTGGTGGTGTTTTCCTGGCTCAAGACCAGCACGTTGGCTTCAATACCATGTCAGAGACCAATAAGGATATGACAGCCCTGGTTGAACAGGCATCTGGAATAGTCGCTATAGCACAAGGCAAGGTCAAGATCACACATGCAATGAAAATCGTGGGCTTCGACACACCTGAAAGAAAGAACATGAGATGGTATCAACAAGTGAGGAGGAAATCATTGAAGCTTGGATCTGTACCTGTTGAGGTTGTTGCCGCCGTGAAGGGATCTTCAGTTGACAGCCGAACTACTCTCACTGGAAGCACTCCAGCATCTCGCGACTCCACTCTTCCATCGCCACCTGACTCTGTTGACAGTTCAATCATTGTTGTGGGAGATGAAATGGATCAAGCTTTGGCCTCTGTCTGTGCAAAGGAAGATACCACAAAGCCAAAGAGAAAGGATAGACGCACCAGCAAACAAGTCCAGAAGTCACTAGCACAGAAGGCGCAGCTTACCAAAAGAGATAGAGAAGCCATGAAGATCATTACCACTCAGATTGCAAAGCAGAAGAAGAAACCTGAAGAAAGAAGGAAAAGCATTCGAAAGATAGTTGATGAGAACAATGAGCGGTTCAATTCCAATGTCGATGCAAAGACTGCAGCAAGATACGTACGCAATGGATTGATAGGAACATCGCCAATGAAGAGAGGACCGGTCAGTCAGTTCCCAAAAAGAATATGGAAGGCCTTGTGCGGGGCTGTCGTGACATTCCTGAAACTCGAACAAGCTGGAGGCGCCAAGCAATCTTCTATTGCATCCCTAGCCAGGAAGGTAAATGCCTGTGTAAACAAGGGTGGATGGGAGAAAACAAGAACTGACCTCACAATGAAGATCAAGAAAGAACATGCAGATCAGTTCCCCACAGCCGGTAAGGCCAATATTCAAGAACAGAGACGTTCCCTGTGGACAACTCATTACTTCATCAATACTTGGTTTGATACATGGAAAGCAAGCGTCATTGAGCTTGGTTTTGGTCGTGACCGAACACCACAAGATCCTCAATTCGGTGATGATGGTGGTTCCTTTCTTGGGGAAGTCTTCTTCTTTGACGGTCAACTGGATCGTATTATCAACTTCGATGAGACGGATGGTTCTCTTGATGATACAACTGGCTATCGTGGAGGACGTCCAGCCATGACCTTCTATGCTCCAGACATTTCTGGTGGAGGAACAAGAGTGAACAAGAGTGGTTATTCTTGTACCATTATTTGTGGAAGCAATGCAGCAGGCGACCCCTTACCTCCTCACTTCCAGTTGAAGACTCTTGCCACCTCGGCTGAAAGAGAAAGGATCAATGTCGATTGGTTCCAGCACACCAAGGATACAGTCGGCACCTGGGGCTTTGATGACAAAACAAAACGTCCATGCACATTTGGAATGAATGAGAGAGCTGGAATGAATGCCGTGGAGCTGGACAAGTACATCAAGAATGCAATACTCACCTTGTACCCTGATATAGAGGACACACCGGGGAAGAGAGTTCTTGTAAAAGTCGACAGTGGGCCAGGAAGAAGCAATGTGGAGATGCTCGCTGATCTTCGGTTGCAGGGCTTATATTTGATTCCAGGTGTACCAAACACAACCGGTGCTACTCAAGAAACAGATCAGAACTATGGTCCCTTCAAGACTGTTTACAAAGACAACCTTAGACGTTTGTCTCAAGCTCGCTTCGACATGGATAAGAATCTGCAAGTTAGTGACTTACCATTGTTGGTTTTCGGTGGCAAAGATCCGGTATCCGATGTTGTTCTCCGAGATGCATTCTCTGAGGCGTTTTCTGTCAGGATGAATAGAAGATGTTGGAAGAAGGTGGGAGCTGCTCCATTGACAAGAAATGCCCTGCACCATCAAAATGTCCGACACGAAGTTCCCGATGAGAGGGCCGCTTCTGTGCTTGCTGCAGCTGGCGAGGAAGAAGATCCAACTGGGAATATTGCCAAGCTCAAGAATCAGGAATTAATGAACACGTTCTTTTGCGAGTTTCTGACTTCAAGTGGAATGGACGGTTCTCAATTGAGGATTGATGCTCCCAAGCGAAAGACTTTTGTGGGTGTCACTGAGGCCCATTCACAAGCGCGGATAGATGGCATTAAGAATGCCAAAACCACAGGGCAGATGCACTATGTGACAGGTGGCCGGCACATGAATACTGATGAATTCTTCAAGGCAACCAAATTGAAAGAGCGTGATGAAACTGTCAAGGCACTCCAAGATACCAAGAAGGCAAAGCTGTCTGCCTATGATGCAGAAGTGGCGGCGAAGGCACTGCTTCAGGAGAGGGGAGTGTTCAATGTAGAGACTGGCAAGGCATTCACTGTCACCCAAATCAAGATTCTGTTGAAGTGGCGGATTTGTCCAAAACCTGCATCTCAGCGAAAGCTGGACCTCATGATAGCTTGCTTGGCAGGAGAGGATCCACCCCCGGCGGTCCCATGGACAGAGGAAGAGGAAGCCGAGCTGGTGAAGGCAAAGGGCGTCGACATGGATATGAAAGACACTGCCTTGGGTGTCGCGGCGACCCAAATGGCAAAGGCCGTGACACACAACATGGCGAATTTGGACCCCGAAACAAGGGCTGCACTCAAAGCTGCCATCCAGGCCTCCGAGTATGGTGAGCCTACCACTACTCCTGAGGTTGCAATGACTGTGGCAGGTCCGTAAGGGCTTCGAAACAGCCGCTTTTTCGTCATCGTGGAACTGTTTTGTGTTGTTCTTTCTGTTTTCCGAGTTGTGTCAGCCTCAGTCACTAGAGAGTGGGATCAAAAAGAGGTGGTTGTGAGCCGTTCCTTAACTCTAAAAATTTACATTCCGTTAACTCAATAAGCAACAACCCCATGTCATGATTAGGGATTTACACAGCATTTTCGAAAGTGAATTGTGAGCTGCTAATAGTACGTAGGCATTGTACCACAGCCCACGAGTAAATCCATTAACTCGCTTTAAACTAGTACCGACAGTACAAGCTCTAGCTAGTAGAAGTCATCAAGATGCCACCAACGACAGCGGCTCTACTACTAGTAGCTAGCTAGACTACTAGTATTGCAACAGCACAAGTTTACACCAATAATGGCATCCAAGAAACTAAAGAAGGTCCTCCAGAAGCCTCAACAAAGCGTCGCTGCCGTCAAAATTCTTCTCAGCAGGGAAAAAAGCACCAAGGAACGAAGTACCGCCTGTCATGCTCCGTGACCATGACAAAAGGGCTGGGAATAGTACCAATGGTGCTGCCATGCCAGCGCTGTCGACATTGGAAGCATCAAAGCACTGAATGGAAGCACAAATTACTCCAGTTGGAATGATACTAGTACAATCCAGCCATCACGAGCTGTCTACTCACACCACAAAGACAGGCAAAACCCCACTCATGATCATTCGTTCACAAGAAGCACTTCTTCCACTCATCATCACAATGGCCATGTATTACCTCCCCAAAAAGCCACCCAAGAAGCAACACAGCAGTCAGACTTCCTCCATGAAAAACATGAACCCAGTCCTGTGGCCTGTTGGTATGGATAGCGTCGATGCCAACCAGGACATGAATGGTTCAAACTTTGCAATAAGAATGGTTAGAAAATATTTGCTTGGTGCCTGTGGACAAGTTGGCATAGTTTGTTGGAATCCACAAGCAACCGCTGCAGCTACAGCCAGTCGGCAACCGCCACCTTTGCTACCAGCGATTCAATAGCTACTTCTACGGCTATTACTGACTACTACTACGACAATAGTGGCAACAGTGTCCACCACAGGAGTTATAAGCCGTGCAAAAGATATTGTGTTTTGCGACGAGCCGAGAACTGAGAACACAAGCAACAGCAGCACAACAGCAAATTCATTTTGAAAGGCTGGGCTAACTGAATGGCTTGTCTTTGGCCCTGGGATCTGTTGCCAAGCAACACAGTGTCGACACAACAAGCAAACTAGGAGCGAGCAACAACAAGAACAACCGCCGCTAGCCTGTGCACCAACAGCAACAATAACCAAATGCTAGCTACCGACTGACAAATTCCATTGCCGACAAATATCGATGCGTCACCTAATTAGAAATGTATCCCTGCTCCTTTCAGTGTACTAGTAGACAATTGATGACAGCAATAGTAAATGCCACCATTGTTTTTGAGTATAACAACGTAACGGTACCAGCAAGATAATGGTAACTAGACTATGTCACAGTTGCAATCCATGTGCTAAAGAATAAATACACTGAAATGAACTCCTAAAATCAGTAGTTGTAGCACTGCAAAGTAGCCCTGTCAATCTACCAGTATTATCTCAAGGAGGATAACTTTCAGTTCCTAGAGCTGTGTGTGTGAGTTTGTTGTGTAGCCTGTTGCCTTTCAATGACGCGATATAACAAACTAAGCCTCATGTAATCCGGAGCAGTCGATTGAATGGACTTGACTTGACAACGGTACCAGTATTCTCCCATTTGACTGTCACGGGCCGTCCTCACCACGCAGGCTGGTACGATTTCAATGAGAATGGCTGCACACAGCTGGGTAGTCAGTGTCGTCAGTGACTATGGCAAACAGGACAGGAATGGTTCAAACTGGTGTGCAATAAAAGAGATGTTGTATGGCATAGCACTGGCCAAAGGCAAAGCGGTGGCTCAAGGGAAGTGCTCTATCAATGATGCAAGATACCAACAGTGTTCACATGTTGATCAACGAACAACAGCAGCAGCAACAACCAAATGCTGGCCTGCTATCACGGAAGGAATTTTTATACAATTGACTGCTACCATTCCCGCCTACCAATGCTACTACTACATGTACCATACTACCATTGCCGCCTACCATTGCTAATTGCCAACAATTTTTGGACGAGCCGAACTGTGGACACGGCGGCGCATCCACACAACAGCATTGCTTGCTTTTCCACCAGTACAAATCAACAGCAATACAGGCAACTGGGTACCCGCAAAGGAATTACGACGTCTTCAAAAGGAGTAGCCGCTGTAAAGGAAGTAATATCATCTTGATTGAGAGTTATCGAAATAATGAATGAAGAGGAGGATACGAGTGGCTTGGATCATGTTTATCAGTCCCTCGTTCTCTCTTAACCGACAATGACATTGTGAGTTGTCAGTTTTGTGGGAATGAATCCGGCCGTACTATCCACAGCTGCGCACCATTTTCCAATGGGACTATGCATAATTGTTGTATCAACTGGTTGTTGTCGAACGGCAACTTCTCCGACTCGACGACTAACTCTCGGATGCATGAACATAAATTCCACTATTGAAAAGCAAGAAGTGAAACATATCGCCTTTCGTTCCGTCTCGACAATGGCCGAAGCAACCATGGCGCATGTACCACTAATGCAACAGTTGCTGTGTGGTTGCGGGTGGCTTTCGTCATGGTCAACCAAAAATGGAAGGGGGCGAAATGAATCGAATCGCTGTTGGCTGTGCGAGAGGCCAGAGGAAACCGTACTAGGTACTTACTTTAAGGCTTCTATGCATAAAGCATAAAGGTATGAAACATACTACTATTATCTTCTTTCAAAGAAAGCATCTGTCGCAGTAGTGATGATGCTTTTGGGGGCTATAACAATCAACCAAACCCCTTTCTTTGGTGTAGGAGGTATGCTGTTCCCCCGAATCTCCCCAAAGAGTTTCAATACAGTACATGCAAAGAGTTGGTTACCAGTTGTAATTCACCCAACCATTTTTCTTTTCGTAGCTTTTCTAACGGATCTTCTTGATGATGACCTTTCTATAAGCCTTTCGTGTAGGATAGTACTGGAACGGTATAACATGGCAAGGAAATTCCAACGAAAAGCCACCGGATAAAGATCATAAAAAAGTGTCTTGGTACTGATTCTTAGATAGTGCGGTGCTGCCAAATTTTGGATCAACTAGCCCCTTACAAACCCCTTCATTAAGTCGTGAGGAAACCTCACGGATTGGGAAACCGTGAAGTTGTGGCAGGCTCTCTAGATGACCTCCCCTGCGTTATAAGATGATGTCTGATGGCATAAGACGATGTCTGATATGGCATAAGACGATGTCTGATGGCATCGTGGCATAAGACGATGTCTGATGGCATAAGGCACTGTCCCAACAGTAATCAAGAATCGCACATTCGGAGAATCCAACTATGACCATGAAGGCCCTTGGTCACTCGAAGTCCCAGAGGGTGTCCCAACAGGTAAATGCCCAGTACCAAAAATCCAATACGTGACTAGGAGTCATGGACGCTCCAAAAGCCATCTCATTCATCATTGGATGCGCATTGGCATGTAATAGAAAGATACAAGAAAGAAGATACACGAACAACAATAAAATAAGAAGCTGATTGTTGAAGATTCTCATAACACCGACCACTGACAATGATACTTCAATCGGTACTATTGGGGCTGCTCTTCTTACCTTTGGTTGCTGCTTCGCCAGCCATGAAACCAGGACACTTCTTTGCTGTTACGTGCGCTGTTCTTCTCTCTGCCGCTCCTGAAGTCTTCGGAATTCAAGAGAACCGTAGGCCAGATCCAAGTCCCCATCGCCCAAGAACCAGGAAGAGAGTCGCAGATATCTTCAATGAGCTTGGTCCCTACTACGTGAGAATGGCCTATCGAATGGAACCAGCATCATTCTGGAAGCTGTGCCGCTTGCTCCATCCCCACTTGAAACCAAAGTCAACCAAGAAAAAGAAGGGGAGGATTGGAGCAAAGAACGGCCTGATTCCTTTGTCATCCAAAGTGAGCTCTGCGTTGAGGTTCTTTGCAGGTGGAGCTTCCTATGATATTTGCCTGGTACATGGAATAAGTCATACAGACGTGTATCGGTCAGTTTGGAAGGTAGTTGACGCAGTAAACCTGTGTGATGCCTTGGCATTTACTTACCCTTCCAAGTGGGAGGACCAACAGAAAATTGCTGATGGATTCAAGGTCAAGAGTCGTGGAGTGTTTGAGTGTTGTGCAGGAGCAATCGATGGGATTGTTGTTTGGATAGAGCGGCCCAGCCAGAAGAACTGTGACACTGCAGAGTGTGGGCCCAAGAAGTTCTTCTGTGGCAGAAAGAAGAAATTTGGCCTGAACATGCAAGCAACATGTGATCATGAACGGCGCTTCATGGACATTTCCATCAAACACCCAGCTTCAACCTCCGACTATCTTGCATTCACCACATGTCCCCTGTACGTGAAGATGGAGACAGAGGGATTTATGAAGTCGGGCTTGTGTTTGTTTGGGGACAATGCATATGTCAACACTCCATACATGGCGACACCTTACAAGGCAGTCCGGAGTGGTCCAAAGGACGCATACAACTACTACCACTCGAATGTCCGGATTACCATTGAATGTGCCTTTGGGATGCTTGTCCGACGTTGGGGTATCCTGTTGAGGCCATTATCCACGAAGTTGACCATCGCCAAAGTGACAGCCTTGGTTCGCTGTTTGTGTCGACTTCACAACTTCTGCATCAATGAGCGACTCGAAAGACTCAATAATCAACAATCCCCATCAGAGCAACAAGACAAAGACATGGCTGATCTACTAGCATCCGATGAGTTGAACATTGTGTTGGGTGGTGGGCGCGCTGCTGACAATAATGATGGCTTCAGACCAGAGGGATTGCTTCATGGTGGAGAACATTTCGATGATGCTAGCAGGAGTGTGCGCATCAGTAGAGTGAGATTGGATGCGCCACTCCCTCGCGACATTATGTGTGAGCGAGTGGAACGCTTGGAACTCACACGACCAACGCCTAATAGCTGGGTTGGTCGCACTCCTGCAATTCTATCTAGTTATTAATTCATATAGATCCAACATTACGAGTCACACGCAGTTTTCTATCAATGCAATGTATAGTACAATCGGTCGTCCTCGCTCAAACGGATCTGCGATCGTTCGCCGAAATGGATAGATCTGCTAGCGATTGGTGGCGATTGAGCCATGAGGGCGAAGAAAACAAGAAACTGCTAAGTCTACAAGTCCATTTCGCTAAGTCTTTCATTTCTTCCTAGTGAGATTAATGTCTACCAAACTCTATGCTCGCATGCAAGTCAACAATAAAGAGAGAGTTGTGCATGCTTTACAGCATCCGTATGGAAGAGGCACACTTGCCACCTTTTTTCTTTTCACTTCAACACAACACAAACAATGCGACCATGGCCACTTTCAATAGCCAGTGCTTCCACTCTCCTGGGCAATGCTATCTTCCTCCTCGGTATCTTGGACTTCCTCGGTCCTTTGGCGCTTGGCATTCTGCTCCATGATGGCATCCACCATTTCCTGGATCTTTGTGATTCACTTCTCAAGCTTCCTGACAGTTTCGTCATAGAGTTTCTTCACACAAGGTAGTTCGGTAGTGAGGGCCCGTTCTTCGTACATGACGCAGCGATTCTCAGCTTCACGTAGCTCGGTCAACAAAGCGGCGTGGGACATGTTGGACAGAGCATCGCTGATGGAAGAACGAAACTCAGCCACAGCGCGAACTTCGGCTTCTCTCTTCCTCCTGTTGACAGAAGCGTTGTCATCTCCCATAGTAGACTGGCAACTCTCCGAATCAGCAGCACAGTTGACCGAGATAACACTCAAGACTGTCTTCATGACCTCCTCAGTGTCCGCCACATGCCAGAGATACAGGATGTGTTCGCGAGTTCCAGAATCAAGGAAGCTCGAACGATTGTCCCCTTCCTCGAGCTGTTCTTCTTCCATGTGACCGAACTGGGGCTCTTCTGTTGTCCTCTGACCAAACCCATTACCGCTGAGCTCCCACTTGGAAACAATTTTGACCAGCTTGGCACGACAGTCGCTGAACCTGCGTCTGGCTTCTTGGGCACTGATGGTACCTGGCACTTTGTCGAACGAAAGGTCAATGACATCCACAAAATGGCAAAGTCTTGAGGTCAACTCAAGACGGGTTTCAAGGTAGTTTGGGTGCAAATAGCAGGTGCTATCAGGTGCAATAGGTACAATCCTTTGTCCTGGTCAACAGGTACACTTATTTGTTATGCTAAACTAAGAATTGTGAGCACACATGGCTCCTAAAGTCAAATACAGTGGCACATTTCGAAGGCCGCGAAATGGGACTTCTACAGACCGTAAACGGGACTTCCACCACTTCTGTGCATATAAACTTCATCCAGGACCTCACCTGACCACCAAACATTGATACATAGGGCATTCATAGTCCAGGACTTCATAATGTCATCAAACATATAGTAATCATGCTTGTCCCAAGACCTCATAGTATCTTCCATCATCTAGGAGTCTTGCCCAAAGATACTTATGAGTCATGCCCAAAGATACTTATGAGTCATGCTAAAGACTTAGAGCACAAGGCCAACCATACAATATCCAGAGTGAAACACTTCCAGGCAGCACACTTGTTCCAGGACAGACAAGCTGAGAAACCAGCACTACTTTTTCAAGGGAAGCGAAAACAGAGCTTCCCCTCTGATCTGTCACTACAAGAACAACAACACTAATAGCAACAAACACAACCAATCGGTCATACCTATACCATTACACTACCTATTAGCACCATTAGAAGCATTGAACGAAGCGAAAGGACCTCGGAAGCTTGTTATCTGTTATTTCGTTGAAGAGTATGTTTTACTATAGGAATCATCAACGCATCACGGAAAACACCATCCCTTTTTCCTCTCTTTATCTCATTCAAGCCCTCCGGTTGACAGGATCGACACTCCTCTGGTATCTCCTATCAAGCGCACCTCTCTTTCAAGCGACTATCAAAGCGCCTTCCCCGTTCAGATTAGAAAGCCATCCCCATTGAAATCCTACGAGATCGGGCGGGTTTTCTATTCTCGACCGCCGACGGCCAAGTTGGAGAATTTAACACAAGAAGAAGTCTCCGGTCTTCTGCAGTTTCAGAATAGAAGAGAAACACATACCCATTTTGTTACTTTCTGTTCTCTCACTGTCGACGGCCCAAGAAATCCCATTGTCGGCCATCCTTTTTCGAACGACCGAACCACAACAATAACAGGCTCCGGTTAACCTTACCCCTAGCAACTGACTCATCCGAACCCTTGAATCGAATTGAATCTTCGAACGATTTCGAATCCTCTGAATGAATCGGTTTTCGAATCGAATCGAATCAAGACTCGCTCCTCCGGAATCGATCGATCTTCCACGACGTACCTCTTCTCCGTACTCTACTCTTCCTCGTACGGATCGAACGACAGCCTACTATCATCAAGAAGGACTTAACAAGAACCTGCAGTGACCGTCGAGAACAGAAACACAGCTGTATTTCTTACTTTCTCACCGGCCACTCTGGGTTCCCCCGACTCCTTGTTGGAACTGATCCTAAGAATGACACAAGAAGAAGTCTCCGGCCTTCCACAGCACAGTACAGAAAACAATTCCCATACGTGTCATTGTTGCTTTCTGAACTAAGCTCCTGACGGCCGAAAGAAATCCCATTGTCGCTCCTCCTTTTTTCGAACGATTCAACGAATCGAATCGAATGAATCCAAACTCGCTACTCCGTGAATCGATCAAATCTTCCCGCGACCGTACCTTCCTCCGTACGAAGCCTACTGTCATCAAGAAGGACATTCACGAGATCCTGCAGTGACCACCCAGAAGAGAATACACCTGTATTCTTACTTTCTCACCGGCCACTAGTGGTCTCTCCCGACGTCCTTGTTGGAACTGATCCTACTGATCCAACCAGTCCTATCCCTATACCGACTGAGTGACTGATCGACACCCTGCTACTGTTACCACCCTCCATTGATATCTAACTCCTCTCCAAGAGGAACAACAAACACCAACAGAGTTCCTGTAAGACTTGAGTTCTTGTATCTCCAGCTTGGCTGAATTTGCTAGTTTCACAGCCCCTCCCTGGATACCCAGCTCCTCTCCAAAGGATCCTACCCCCACAAGAACAACTAAAAAGTTGCCCCTCTAGCGTGTTTGGCTAGATTGTGCAACACTCATTGACACAGCCACCTCTCTGCTACTGCACCTGACTCTCCTACTGAGCCTCAGGAACTCCAAAAGGATTGAGCCCCAGACAGAACTTGCAGCGTGGTGTGGCATAGATATTAATACATAACTGACTCTATCTCTCTCTATATTGATTGTTGAGTGACTCTCCAGTGACTTTCCACAGTTCCACCTGAATCGAGTACCCTTTCCACATCTTGGCTTGACTCTCTGTTGCATTTTGCATCCCTACAACAGATTGAGTACCAGCCTTTGAGACAACACAGTGTCACCCAGTAACACAGCCCCATCAACCAACAACACCCCTTGATCCCCCACCACTGCCTCTACTGGCTATAGCGTGACTTCTCCAGTTTTCCCTGAAAGAATCCCTAACACGCCTTTGGCTCTGATACCATCTTCTCCTGCAGGTAGTGGTATACCTGCACCAGACTTGGCCACAGCTTTGATCCAGTGGCAACAACAATAACCCAACAACTTGATATAAACCTTGATTACCAGTGCCTCAGTGCATTGCCCCTTGAACACACCCTTCTACATCAATCATCTCGCCACCTCACAAGCAACCTCCATTGCTTGCGTTGAAGCAACGACACTAACAGTCAATACTCCAGGATACACAACCCTTCCACAACCCACCTACCACCCACCATGACTCCCCCATGTCTACCCATACCACTCAACAACCAAGGCCTCCAGACACTCCCCCACTCCACACCACCCAACCAACCACATCCACCACCCACGCAGACTACACCAACACCACTCCCCGATGATCAAGCCAACAGCTCCTAGAGCATGCAGCCATTCTTGAGGATCACACCTTCCGAATCACACACCCTACCCTATCAGGGAGGATGCCTTTGTTCTCACCCTTGAACAGAGGCACGCCTCCATCCTACAACCACACCATCAACCATGCTACCATCCTCAACTCCTACTACAACACTCCAACACCAACAGGATCCCCCTCCTGCCCCTGGCATCAGCCCAATTCCAGTGCCCCCTCATCCTCCTTCTATTGACTCAACAACCACTCAAACAGCCCACAACACCCCAGCAGCCACTGTGCCTCCCCCCCTGGAAACCACACACTCGCCAGTGTGTCATTTGACCCCATCTTTCCCTGCTTGTTGGCCTCTATCTAACAATTTTGTGCGATTGGATGGGTTACACCCTCCTCTGGTCCAGTCCTGAGGATCGAGTACCACCTCCAACGGCTCTGCTGGCATCTTGCGCTTGCATGCCAAGGCCCTTGGCACAGCTTGGGACCTGATCACCCAGACACCTTACTGGCGAGCACTCTTTGGTCTGGCAATCTAACAGGTCCTTACGGTCCCTATGGTGATAATGGTTTCAACTACCGCAAAAACCTGTTGTAAGCCCCTGTAACCCAGGTTTGCGCTGCAGTTCCCTATCAATGTGCTCATCCCCCTACCCGGGCATCCGTCTACTTGGTGCTGGTTCCACGTTGGGCCAGTGGATGAGGTCATGTTGATTGGGCCAACAAGTAGATGACGACTCAGCTAGGTGGGGGCTTCCCCACCCATTGCCCGCGTCACAAAAGCCACTCCGTGGCCATAGTTTGTTAAACTAACGAGTATTTTAACCCAACTGAGAAACCAGCACTACTGTGTAAACACACCAAAGACAGACACAGTGGGAAGCCAGCAGTAATGTTTTCACATCATGTGGCTCCAATCCAACTCCTGTCACTCCCTTGGGTTGGTGGCACAAACATAGAGACAAACATACAGGGGTAGGTGGGCTCTTCAATCATCAAATCGCCCGTAAAGTACCTGCTTGCAGAGCCGGTACATCTTGTGGGGTCCAAGAGGCTTGGTCCCCATATCCGCGAGGTTCCATCCTGATGCGATCTTGCCAACCCTGGCAACACCTATGGCAACAGCTTCCCTGCACTTGTGGTAGGCGCAGGCATGGTGCTTCTTCTTGAGGGAGGAGGACGGCAAATGTAGGTTGTTGACAACTGACATGTTGTCACCCAAGATGGAGGTTGGTTTCTTCACTTCAACTCCCAACATTCTGGCCTTGTTCCTCATGGCAAGGGCAGCTTCAACTCCAATCCTTGCTTTGACCAACTCAGCCCCATCGGTGGAGCACTCAATGGTGGCCAACCTCTTGGAGTAGGACTTGGTGGGCAAAGAAAGCAATGTAGGAGGCCACACTGGACATGTCAATCTTGTTTGATGCATGGCTAGCATCCACCATGATGTCTTGGGTTATCTCAGGGAGAAGGGGCTCAGGGGCATCTGGGTCAATGG